TCATGATTAAAATCATACTAGATTAAACTAAATCAGACTAAAGTAAGATCTTTGTAAAGTAAGATCTTTGTAAAGTAAGATCTTTGTAAAGTAGGATCTTTGTAAAGTAAGATCTTTGTAAAGTAGGATCTTTGTAAAGTAAGATCTTTGTAAAGTAGGATCTTTGTAAAGTAGGATCTTTGTAAAGTAAGATCGTTGTAAAGTAGGATCTTTGTAAAGTAAGATCTTTGTAAAGTAGGATCTTTGTAAAGTAGGATCTTTGTAAAGTAGGATCTTTGTAAAGTAAGATCTTTGTAAAGTAGGATCTTTGTAAAGTAGGATCTTTGTAAAGTAAGATCTTTGTAAAGTAGGATCTTTGTAAAGTAGGATCTTTGTAAAGTAGGATCTTTGTAAAGTAAAATCTGTGTGAAGTAAGATCTTTGTAAAGTAGGATCTTTGTAAAGTAGGATCTTTGTAAAGAAGGATCTTTGTAAAGTAAAATCTGTGTAAAGTAAGATCTTTGTAAAGTAGGATCTTTGTAAAGTAGGATCTTTGTAAAGTAGGATCTTTGTAAAGTAAGGTCTGCGTAAACCACATGACGGTCTAGGAAATGTTTTTGAAATGACAGCTTCAAATCTCTTGAAATAAAGTGGACACATTTCAAGGTTGAAGTTTTAAAAATGTGAAATTTGAAAGAGAAAAAAAACCAGCAGACGTGAAGTTGAAACAAAGTTCCAGTATGTGGCCGTCAGACCCAGGCTAACTATCCTGATGTGAGTACACACTTCTGATTCATCAGCTCACAGGCATGGAGTGCGCATGCGTGAACCCAGAGTCCAGACCAGGGACCCAATCAGTTACTCATCAAGATCGATAATCGTAATTACTGGGGCAGTTCCAGCACAGCCCCCCCCCCCCTCACCTGGGCATGCCGTGTCTCACACAGGTAGGGTCACGCCTCGCAGACCTGTTGGTGCCAGCCTGGATCAGACAGGTAGCTTTGGAGGACGGTGCCGGTCACGGCGCTTGAGCACAGGTAAGGCGTGACTCACTCCTGGTCGATATCTTTGTGCTTGTTTCTTTCATCCTGCACACACACACACTCACACACACACAATGTCACATACACTCACGTGCATACACACACACACACTGTCACATACACTCACGCGCATACACACACATACTCACATACACTCACGCGCATACACACACTCACACACACTGTCACATACACTGTCACATACACTCACGCGCATACACACACACACACTCACACACACACACATTGTCACATACACTCACGCGCATATACACACACTCACGCAACCGCACTCACACTCTTTCACAAACATAAAAAACACATACAAACGTACATACACACTTATCTCTCTCTCTCTCTCTCTCACACACACACACACATACACACTAACACTCACAGTACCACAACAACATGAACAAGCCGAGATTTTTTTTATCTGTTATGTCAGTTACGTTTTGCTAACGCGATTTGATGAACTGATTTGTTAACTAGATTTGTTAACTAAATGTGTTACCTAGATTTGTTAATTAGATTTGTTAATTAGATTCGTTAATTAGATTTGTTGACTAGATTTGTTAACTAAATTTGTTACCTAGATTTGTTAAGTAGATTTGTTAACTAGATTTGTTAACTAGATTTGTTAACTAGATTTGTTAACTAGATTTGTTAACTAGATTTGTTAACTAAATTTGTTAACTAGATGTGTTAACTAAATTTGTTAACTAGATTTGTGAACTAGATTTGTTAAGTAGATTTGTTAACTACATTTGTTAAATAGATTGGTTAACTAGATTTGTTAACTAGATATTTTAAAACTAGTTTTGCTATACATTTGTTAACAAGAGGTTAGTAAATTAATTAGTCCCAAGCTAATTATGATCAAAACAACTTCAACGTGTCAACAATGTTGCTCAAGACGTGTCCAACGTAAAATCAAATGTGAGCGTGAGTAGGGGTGGGGGTCGGGGGGGGGGGTCGGGCTGTACCCAGATGTCTGGCGGGGGGTGGGGGGGGCGACCCCAGTGTTGGTTACCGTATTAGACAAAGAATCCTTTGCATAATTAAAAAAAAAACCTAAAAATTCGAATGTCTTTTGAGCATGTCACGGAGCAGACGATAGATCAGCGCTCACCCTTTGTCCCATGTCCCCACACCTTGCGTCCCCCACCGCCCCACTCACCTGTAAGTCGGGGGGGGGGCGCCTTTGTTAGCAGGATTGTAACGAAATCTTGCGCCTACCGACAACCTAAGTCACCTGTTTTCAGAGGGGGGGGGGGGGATATTGCACACTTGTGACGTCAGTTTGATCGTTCGTTCGTATAACGTCTGCTGACAATTTTACCGCCAGTCGCCTCTTTATACAGTGCCATGACTGAACCAGTTTGTACAGTACTATGTTGTAGGGTTATTAGCCATCACAATGTCTACCTGATTTTTCCTAATGATCAACTACTTAAATATGTTAATTTGCTTGAATTTGTTGCACACTGGTAAAATAACTTTCGCCTGTTTTTTTTAAAAAATATTTTTTTTTGCTTGTTTTCGCCACGAATTTTAAGCTCAAATTTTTTTTTAAAACGGCGGAGCATAATTAATTAGAATTTAATGAACATTTTCAAATTTTTGCTTAATTTAAACCAAACATTTAACTGCAATTAAATACTTCGATAAAAATGTATCACTTGATAACCTGGTTTAACCCGGTTAACCTGGTTTAACCCGGTTAACCTGCCCTGTGTAGGTCTTGTCACACATTTGGACAACTTTTTTTATCACTAGCTAAAAAAATATTTCCCTCTCTGCTATTCTAGGCTTGAGTAGCGCCCCTTTTCTTGAGCCTACTTTTCTAGGCCACCTTTGTTGATGGTGCAGAGTTAGTGCCCTTGTGGGGACCAAACTTTGGGAAGCTTTTCTCTTGTTGCCGCGAGCTCCCATTGGTGGAAGGGGTAACCCAATTTCAGCAGCGGCGCGTGCCGTCGCGCTAAGCCCCGCCCAGTCGCGTGCGAGTTGGGCTCGTGTTACAAAGGCTAGGACAAACCAAAAAGAGACAGTTTAAAAAAAAAATCCCGGGGAGGTGAAACAGAAAGGCGGGATGGGGCGGGGGTTTCGGCTGAGTAACAATTGTATGCACCCCCACACATCTGCCGTAGGGCGAGCAAAGTGGGGTGGGGGAGACACGGGGGGGGGGGGGAGAGCGAGGTGACGCTCGAGTGGTTTTCTCAGTGCACGAGCGACGAATTTTGAATAGCGCGTGGGAAACTACAGCACGAGTGAGTAGCCCGGGGGGGGGGGGGGGGGGGGGGGGGTCGGGTGGTTTGAAGGGGTGGGGGTATTTCTATAGAAGTCCTAAAATAAAGTTTTAGGGTGGGGGTGGTCGTAGTTGTCGCGGGGTGAGGGGGGGGGGGCAACAACGAAGACAAGTTGTGAGGAACGCGCAGTCCCTTCCTCCAATCTTACACCCTCCAGCCCCCCTCTCCCTGTGATTTACCCCTAGGCGCGTGTGTTCTCCCCCCCCCCCCCTCACCCTGTCACCCTACACCCATTGTCGTCGGCACGCGACAACCTCCCTCCCTCCTCATTTAGCACCGTCCCTCCCCTGCCCCCGCCGTCCCACCCCTCCCCAGCGTGCTGGGCCGTCCAATAAAGCTACAAGTCCCGAGTGAGTCCCGTCAAATGTACTCGGTGTGCGCGTGTGTGCGTGAGTGCTCTAGTGTTTCTCTCGCCTCGGATCTTTAACCCTCCGGCTATCTACTGCGCCATGTAAGTACCAGTCTCATCTCAATCACATACATAGTCACACCAGTGGAACAGTTCAACACACTGTTACACAGTTTAACACCGTTTTACACAGTTAAACGCTTGTCAAACCAAGCTTAGCCTTAGGTAAACTTGTTTGACACCTTCTGGGCAGGACACGAACCCCGGTCCTGACTAGGGCGGCATTAGCCGGGCTAGGCAGGACACGAACCCCGGTCCTGACTAGGACGGCATTAGCCGGGCTAGGCAGGACACGAACTCCGGTCCTGACTAGGACGGCATTAGCCGGGCTAGGCAGGACACGAACTCCGGTCCTGACTAGGACGGCATTAGCCGGGCTAGGCAGGACACGAACTCCGGTCCTGACTAGGACGGCATTAGCCGGGCTACAGACTAGCGTTGTTTCAGGTGGTAGGAAACAAATAGAGAGAATATACAGGTTGGCTGGATCTTTATGGGTTAATTATTATCTGTTGATTGGTTTGCTTAATTACTTTGTGATGTTGGCTAGCCAGTCACACGACTAACCGCGGTTGGTTAAAAAAAGGTTTAACTCAACGCTTGACTGTTGGCTAGGAAGTTGATTATTATACCGTAAATTAAATCTACCGACACCAACACAATCATCACTCCAACATCAACATCACACCAACACCAACATAACACCTACACCAACATCACACCAATACCAACATCACTCCAACACCAACATCACACCAGTAACAACATCGCGTCAACACAAACATCGCTCCAACACCCACACCAACAAACTCAGAAACAGTGCTCAGGACAAAAGTTTCATGGACTGAAATAATTTCCCCACTTCTACTGTAATGTTGAGGGGATGGGTTGGGGGTGACCTGGGGGGGGGGGGGGGGGGGGGGAGCTTATGTTTTTAAGTTAAAGTTTCCAGTTCTGTAACCTGTAGTATCATCTCTTCCCGTTCGTGCCCAAGACACATGGGCAGATGAAGTAGAGTTCATCTGTTTCAGGGACCTAGGCGTATGAAGGGCTAGTGTGGTCAGCACTATGACCAGCCGCCTTTACTTTCCCTAACGTGAGTTAGGTACTCATCAGAGCTGGGTGGACTCAGAGACTTTCGGTGTTGGTGTAAGATGTAGTATGCTGTTGTAGTATGCTGTTGTATTATGCTGTTGTAGTATGCTGTTGTAGTAAACACACTTCCCAAATGTGTTACTATAAATAACCTCTTTCTTTGCAGACGCCGGATCATGAGTTTCGTGTGCCACCATTAGGATTTCTTTTAAAACCACTCACCCTGAACACGGCCACAATGCCTCGATCTTTTCTCGTCAAAAAATATTTGAAACAAAAGTACGATGCGGACTTTAAGCTGCAGCAGGAGCTTGCTGGCGCGGGCAGCGAAAACAGCAATGTCAGTGACAGCAATGTGTTGGACAGCAATGTGTTGGACAGCAAACCTGTCTGGGACAGCAAGCCTGTCTGGGACAGCAAGGACACGGGACAGCAGACAGCCGACAGCATCAAAGCGGCCACACCTTTCACCCAGCCGTTAGCAGTCCGCCTCAGTAACGGTAAGTTGGTTTCATACGTTAGCCGGCACACAGGCTCCACGTTAGCCGGCAGTTTAGCCGGCACATTTAATAACATTGAAATAACTCTACTTGTAATTTAAACAGCCCGCCCCCCCCCCCCCTCCATCACATGATGGTGTAGTGGCTACCACTGATGGTGTAGTGGCTACCACTGATGGTGTAGCTACGAATGGTCGGGGTTCAGTTCAACCTATAGGAGCAGTAATTAATTCTACTGCCCGGTAAAGATTCCGGTCCCCCCTGCCTCACCCCCCCCCTAATCAGCCCCGAGTAAGCCTCAGGCCGCTGTATGAAGGCATAAACTCATTAACGAATTAGCCGTTATTTCAACCCCCCCCCCTTTCGATCCATCTCCATTATCTGGGACGGGCAACTTATTCTGGGGACGATCACGATCTAAAAATAGAACTGTGTGCGCAGACGACAGCAGGGGCACTGTCGTCAGAAGACGATTGATCTAAGCCCAGTCACGTGATCTAGGCCCACTCACGTGATCTAGGCCCACTCACGTGATGTCGGCCCACACACGTGATCTAGGCCCACTCACGTGATCTAGGCCCAGTCACGTGATCTTGGCCCACTCACGTGATCTAGGCCCACTCACGTGATCTTGGCCCAGTCACGCAGTAGCCAGCCTTAAATCAGTCGAGTCTGATCTTGGCGTGGAACCTGCACGGAGTTCTGTCCCTTCCCCAGTTCCAGACTTGGCCAGTTTGTCGCGACAAAAAAAAAACGTGTTGAACCGGTCAATAACCGATTATGTCAAGTATCCAGTTGTTTCTCTCCCCCCTCCCCCCCCCCCCACACCACCACTCTCTGTAGAGAACATCAAGACGGTGGTGATCCCAGTTGAGCGAGGCTCTGCTGTTAAACCTGACCAACCGTTTGATGTTAAACCTGACCAACCGTTTGATGTTAAACCTGACCAACCGTTTGATGTTAAACCTGACCAACCGTTTGATGTTAAACCTGACCAACCGTTTGATGTTTAACCTGACCAACCGTTTGATGTTAAACTTGACCAACCGTTTGATGTTTAACCTGACCAACCGTTTGATGTTTAACCGCTTATGTAACTTGGCCTAAATAGGAGAGCCACTCGTGCTGGACATGGGGATGAACGAGTTAAACAACGTTCTTTGCTAGCCGTGTATGTCATGTGGCATTTGTTTTTCTAGCCGTGTATGTCATGTGGCATTTGTTTTTCTAGCCGTGTATGTCATGTGGCATTTGTTTTTCTAGCCGTGTATGCCATGTGGCATTTGTTTTGTCGCCACACGCCCCATCTTTGTATGCCGATGAGGGTCGTTTAGCTGTAGGTTCAAATCTCTGCTGACTGGCCCTATGAGCACGTCAGAGAAATCACGTGATGTCCGCGTGATATCGATCTCCTCCAGCCAACAGCCGACACCGTGTCACGTGATAGTCCCCGTCCTGTTGGTCTGTCATTGATCCAGTTATGCATGGGTCTGGCGCTACCTGTTGATGGCATGACTCACCCTAATTAATCACCCGTAAAGCAGCCGAGCCTAATTGATCGATGCCTAGTGCCCAGGCAAATATCGAGAGAACTCGGGAATCGATTTCTTGCTTTGAGGCGAGTACATCTATCCCATGTTTTCCCTAGTGTGACTCTCACTAGTGTGTGATTGCATGATTGTCCCTATGATTGTCCCTATGATTGTCCGTATGATTGTCCCTATGATTGTCCGTATGATTGTCCCTATGATTGTCCCTATGATTGTCCCTATGATTGTCCCTAAGATTGTCCCTGAGATTGTCCCTATGATTGTCCTTGAAATTGTCCCTATGATTGTCCCTATGATTGTCCTTGAAATTGTCCCTATGATTTGTCCCTATGATTGTCCCTCCCCCCCCCCCACCTGGCTACATGTCTCACCTATTTCCCCCTACAGGCTACATCCTTGACGTCACACCGACCCACCAGCCGTGTGGTGACGCCGAGAGTCAGCACTCAGTGGCCAGGACGCCGGAGTCAGCAGCCAGAGAGAACGTCATGCCTAGACGCAGCGTCATCGTAACCAACAGCAACCACCCAGCTAACCGCCACCTACAGACTGACCGCTACTCCCCCTGCCCCGCCCACCTACAGACTGACCGCTACTCCCCCTGCCCCGCCCACCTGTACAAGAACCCCACCCCCCACAACGATTCTCAACCCTTAGATCTAGTCCGAGCCCAACCAGCACACATGCCGTCCCCACCCCCTGCTCACACCCCGGCCCCACCCCCAGCACACTCATCCATCCCCACCCCGGCGCACACATCCGCGCTGACCCTCCTGCCCGCCCACACCCCTCGGGCCGCCCACTCGCCTACACCGGCCCACCTGAATCTGTCCCGTCCCCGGCCGGACGTGCTACCTGCCGACCACCCCATCCACCACCCCCTCATCCAGCAGCTCATCAACCAGCGGCTGCACGTGCCAGACGACAGAGACCACTTCCGGTCGGACTACGACTCCCGCCAACAGAAGCTGGAGCAGCCGATGGAGGAGGACGAGCAGACGAGTGACCACCCGGGTCCACACGAGCAGCACGAAGGCAGGTACGACAGCAGGTACTACTACGTCAGCCACGCCGACGACATCCGCTACCACAGCTTACAACACCTGCACGAGCGGGGCGTGAGCACTCTGGAGGACGGGCGCTACAGCCCGCGAGAGCTTAGCTCCATCCCGTCCCTACAGCCCATCAACCCCAACCATCTTCCCCCATCGCCCAGCCCATCGCTACCATCCTCATCCCCCACCCTGCCCGTCGTTGTCTCCACCTACTCTCACTCCCCCGCACCCCCATCCCCAGCCCCCTCTGCCCATGCCTCCTCCCCCCCGCCGTCTAGTGACGTCAACACGTTTACCTACGAAGCTTTTCTGGTGAGTGACGGCCGCTCGAGGAAGCGCTCCCTGGACGGGCGTGAGGACACGGGCAAGGTGCGCTACACGTGCAGTGAGTGCGGCAAGGACTACGCCACGTCATCAAACCTGTCACGACACAAGCAGACCCACCGCTCGCTGGACAGCAAGAGCGCCAAGAAATGCCCGCACTGCGACAAGGTCTACGTCAGCATGCCCGCCCTCTCCATGCACGTACTCACCCACGATCTCAAGCACTCTTGCAACGTGTGCGGCAAGACCTTCAGCCGACCTTGGCTTCTTCAAGGACACATGCGCTCACACACGGGGGAGAAACCTTTCGGATGTGCTCACTGTGGGAAGGCTTTTGCTGACCGCTCGAACCTGCGCGCGCACATGCAGACCCACTCGGCCTTCAAACACTACGCATGTGACAAGTGCAACAAGACATTCGCGCTCAAGTCTTACCTCAACAAGCACCTCGAGTCAGCGTGCGTCAAGGACTGAACCCTCGAGTCAGCCTGCGTCAAGGACTGAAGCGTCTCAGAACGAATCCAGAAAGTTCTAGTCCAGCCGTTAAAAAACCAAACTATTTATTTCCATTACCCAGACTGTGCTCGTTTGTTTTATAGCTTTGACAAAAGCGCCATGACAGTATTATAAAAACTAAAAGAACACATCCATTTCGAGGCTCCTCTCATCAAAGATGGCGCCGATTGAAGCCGGCGAGGAGCCGCTCAGTAAATACCCGTTCCCAGCATGCCTCGTCTTCTAATTGTCTGTCGTCTGGACAGGGAAGAATTGATGAAAGTTATATTTAACCTACTTACTTGTTATGATATTTTAAAACGTTTCTACTTACTCGCCGTTTTACAAAAACGATGCAATATTCATGTTTCATGTCCAGTGTTTCATGTCCAATGTTTAAGCTTATGTACATGCATTTACTATTTGTTACGTTATTTAAAGAAAAACCCGCCATTATATCAAATACATATCAATTTTTTGTACATAAATTTATATCAGAAATTTTTAAAGATTTTGCTGTAAAAATGAACGTTTTTTTACACGAATTAATTTTTTTCCAACTTTTGTACATCAATTTAATTTTTTATTGACAATACCCGTGCTTTTTATAGCCAGTTGTTGTCCTTATCAAGCAATGTGCATTTTTGTGAACCTCTTTCTCATCCGGCGTCAGCTTTGTGGGCAGATCAATGGAGCAATCTCACAAAAAGTAAACCTCGCAAAAAGTAAATCTCACAAAAAGTAAATCTCATAGCTACCTACATTACTCCGGCCAACAAAGGATCATTATTTCAATTGATCGTCACAAAGACGTATTAGGATCGATTATTTAGATCAGCAGCCCATCAATATCGTGACTTGGCGTCGCTTGATTGGCGTCATCTGTCGTGCTGTAAACACACATCAGACCGAGCTGTCCGCACAATGGCAAGTTTCAGCTGCCTACAATGACAAGTTTTACCGTGGTTCGGTTAAACGACGCGCCGGATAAAATCAAGCCGTCCAAAAACATGTCGGGACAGAAGCTATAAATAGCCGTAACCGGATGATTAAGACCGATTTGTGTTGAGGAGCAGCGCTGAGATTAGCCCAGCAATATATCGATCCCTGCCTTCCCCAGTCATGCAGAGAACTCAACTATTTTTAAGTCAATTTTTTAATCGATACCAATATTATAAAAAAAAATAACTATTATAGGTTAAAATCAATGACGTCAATGCGATTTTCGATTTAGAAACTAAACATTTGCTGGCATTTAGGTACAAGTGCTATCGTACATTCTTCCGAAATAGATACTCTTTTAATTAATTAATTAATACTAGACCCTAACACCAGGAACTGACCGTGGGGCCATCACATAAGGGGACCCCCACCGTGGGGCTGCCTGTTGGAAAATGGCGGGTGGGGTGGGGGGGGGGGGGGGGGTGGGGGGGGGGGGGGGGTTCAATCGATAAATTGACCAGATTAGAAAATAAAAGACTAATTTCTGCGTGCAACGCGCGCGCTATTTTTGGCTCGGAAATTACCGTTTAAATACAGGCAGACAGATTGTATGACGGCTGATTTCAACACAAATTGGCGCTGCTAGAAAATTGCTAGGTGAAAACTGGGCTGAAAATCTATGCGCAGGAGGGGGGGGGGGGGGTATACAAAAAGTTATAATTCCACTGCCGCTCCACTTTGTTCACCCACCGGACCATCTAACTAATCCACCGGACCATCTAACTAATCCACCGGAACGCTCCACTATGGTTAGATCCACCGGGCCGCTCCACTAGCCCCAGCCAAATAATGTCGGGATGGACATCACTTGTTATATGTTGTTTTTATTTTCTTGTCTTCTGGTCGTGTAGGCCGTACAGGCCTGCGTGCAGGGTTGCTGTGCCTGCCGTACAGGCCTGCGTGCAGGGTTGCCGTACCCCGCTCTTCATTCAACGAGTTGTGAATTTGTACCATAGACCGTAAAAACCTGCTCAACGTCGTCCTGGGGGGGGGGGGGATGTTGTATGGGGGAGTGTATGGGGAGGAGGGGGGGGGGCATATGTACTATAAATAGTTGTCCACAGTTTTAACTACACATTTCTTGTAATCAAATACAGGATCCACTGCGTGAGAAACAAATTTGGGTCGAAAACAAAATTGTACCTTGTTAGAAAACCTTACCTGGTTAGAAAATTGTGCCTGGATGTAATAAGTGTACATCGCTTAAACCTGCCTTGAATGTTGTTTTTTCTAATTTGTTCACGTGAATTTCTTGCATTCCACCAGAACGTTCTATTGTTGACCCCTCACGTCCTCGTCTAACCTGCCTTTGATCGTGTTCACTTGTTATTTCATAGCTTCATTCCTTGACCTTTGACCCGGAGTGCTTACCCTCTCGTGTGTTTCTTTCTGGCCTTGGTGACTACACTCGGAGAAACGAAATTGTTTTTTTAGCTGGATGTCTTGGGACCAAAATTATTAAATGTTAGCCTTTCTCCGCCTTATTGTTGACATGGTACCATTGTTGACACTAGCACCAGTGGTACCACCTCCACACCAACTTGCCCGCGAGTCAGCAGCTCTCTAGACTCCCAACACAGTGTGTTTTCCCACCACGTGCAATAATTTCTATGCTATTTTTGTACCAACCGGCAGCCGTCCTAATAAATTTACACTTTTTATCAATGTCAACAAAAATGTAAAAAATTTAAATGTTAAAAAAAAGTAAAATTGTTAATTTAGAAATGTGAAATGTTTTAGAATGTATGATTTTTTAAATTTTTTAGTTTAAATTTTTTAAACTTTTTTTTAACAGTGGCAACAGCAAATTTGAAGATTTGTATTGTAATTTTTGGTTCAACTTGTGTTTTTAAACACTTTTGCTTTGTACAATCTGCTAATGTAAATATTTTTATTTTTCCCCCCCGTCGACAATGTTTTCATCTGAAACTAGGTCACGGGGGAGTGTCGGGAACACGTGCAATAATCAAACAACCCGCCCATTTTTTTATTTTTTTATTTGAAACTTGCCAGGCAAACACCGCATTTGTGTATATAGATGACTATGATAAAATATGTGTGTACATAGATGACTATGATAAATATTTGTACAGCATGAAAACTTCTTTTACAATTGTTTAGTCACCATTTTCGTGTCAAAATTTTTTGCTTTATTTTAGTAACTTTTAACTGCTTCCGTGGTAAGAACAAAATAATTTCAAAACTGTTGAATGTTTTTTTTTTAATTTTGACCTTTGGTTTTTAAAAAATGTTTGGACACGTGTAGGCAGCAACCCCCAGCCATGCGATGGACATGTCTGGCTCTGGCATTTGTCTCAGAGCTGTACTATAAATAGATTTAATATATTCACTCCAGAACTAGCAATGATACATTATTGTTTGAAGATACTGCTAGAAGAACTGCTTGTACATAACGAGAAATCTATAAATAAAATTTTATTCAGTTGAAATCAAAGCTTTGCTGAGCGTGCGTCACCCCTTTTATGGCAAAAATTTTCAGATGAAATTTGTGTTAACAGAAGTCATTTCTGTGGACTTGTTTAATGGAAACACAATTGAGAGTGTTTTAATGGAAACAATTTAAAAAAAAAGAGCGTGTTTTAAAGTGAATTAGTTTTGTAGTCATAGGAACAAGCGCGTCAGCAAAGCTTTGGGTGACGCGAGTCTATCTTGACCTGAGCGAGATAGACTCGCGAGTCTATCTTGACCTGTGCAAGATAGACATGACATGTTCCCTTTGTGCCAGAACTTGTACCAAACTCTAGATGTTGTACCTTTTTATACCGTTATATACCCGCCTGTCATGATTTACCTACCTGTCATTATTTACCTGTCATAACTCTGTATAACCCCCCCCCCCCCCTAGCACCCAACCCAACAGGGGTCAATAAGAACAATTGTACACATAGCATGTTTGTTGTTTGTTTGCTTCAAGTTCAATGCAGTTTTTTTTCATGTATTTCATCACCTGGACAGTTAGGTCAGACCTTAGGACCCTCTCACCTGTACAGTTAGGTCAGACCTTACGAGCCTCTCACCTGGACAGTTAGGTCAGACCTTACGAGCCTCTCACCTGGGCAGTTAGGTCAGACCTTACGACCCTCTCACCTGGACAGGGTCAATCCCGGACACGCGCCAACAGGTGCTTAACATAGTTTCCCGCACTTTAGATCCCCCCTGACTTGACCCATATATCCTGTAAATGAACGTGTAGGGGTGGGGGTGGTTGCAATCTGCTCCAGCTAACGGTGTCGGGACGTAAGGACAGGTCGACGGACAACACAGGGGATGGGGGGGGGGGGGAGACGCACATTCAACAACCAGCGACTAGACGCTAGCGTGGGGGGGGGGGGGGAATACGGCACCCAGCGTAAGATTACCAAACGTATCCTACCTTCCCCAGCCCTGCCCATTCTTTAGCCGCCATTCCCCCTCGAGCCGACAAAGGCCAGGTAGGGTTGAAAGTCTAACAGGTGCACCCGTAATCCCCAGCCAATCAGAAGCTCGCACCGGCAGTCCCCAGCCAATCAGAAGCCACCTGCCCAATAACGGGACGAGTGCTCACACAATCGACACACGCTCACACCATGCACATCAAAAGCCCGTCCGTCATTGGGAGTTAGAATCAACTCAAGAAACCCAGCCGAGGGAAAAGCAGCAGTAGATGCCCTAGATAGCTGCCCTTCTTCCCGCGCCGTCAAAGTGTTGGGAAGATGTTTAGCCTGATTGTGACGGAACAGATTCGAATAAATTATAAACTCCTGACATTCACTGAATTATAAACTCCTGACATTAAATTATAATCTCCTGACATTCACTGAATTATAAACTCCTGACATTAAATTATAATCTCCTGACATTAAATTATAATCTCCTGACATTAAATTATAATCTCCTGACATTCACTGAATTATAAACTCCTGACATTAAATTATAAACTCCTGACATTCACTGAATTATAAACTCCTGACATTAAATTATAATCTCCTGACATTAAATTATAAACTCCTGACATTCACTGAATTATAAACTCCTGACATTAAATTATAATCTCCTGACATTAAATTATAAACTCCTGACATTTACGACATTAAAGACTTCTGATCGCTTTTTAAAAGTTTTTCAACTGTTGCATGTCTGCACTGCAAGAAACAATTTTACACCTGAGTATTACCCCTGGGTCACGCACCCCCCCTCACATCTGTTTGTTGTTTCACTTGTGGGGGGCACGCCAGCACCGCCCCCATCACTGGACGGTGCCGGACTATTCCCCCCCCCCACAGTATTACTTTGATGTTGTGTCCACCCCGCGGTCGTCAAATACTTAGTGCTCATCTTGTATGCTCATCTTCTGCAGGGTGTCGTTTGCTCTTTCCATGTATTATAGCAATCTTTATGGCATGCATGTTGTCAATCAATCATTGCATCATCAATCATCCATGGCGTCATCACAATCATTCTTTCATTCTTGACAACACAATCTTCAATCAAAGATCAACATTGTTGTAACCCTACACCACCAATACTCTTTCCCCAGCTCAAGGCGTCTAATAATTCAAATTTGTATTATCTTTTCATTCAACTTTTATTATTAACTCTTATGTATTCATTTTGTTGTCAAAATGCAACCACGAATTTTGTCAAAAAGCAATTTGTTCTACTAGAATACATTTTAAAATGAAATTGTTTGAACAGAAAATTTTGCTGGCAAACAAATCTCGTGCTAACGTGGCGGAGCGTGCAATATTGTAACATAGCTCAAATCTCGTTTTTGTTTCAAATCTCGTTTTTGTTTCATTGTTCACATTCCAGCCATTCCCTGCAATCTTTCCCCTGGGTTTTGTCTAGGGTATGCAAATGTTAACTTCTGTAAACACAGCACTGGTGGCGATATGTCAACCGTAAAAAAGAATCAATTTTTAAAACTCAAGTGAAGATTCACAGGGGCCAATTTTAATGTTAGCTATTTTAAGAACACATTGATTTCATATGCCTAGTCGTGTTCGCATCTAGCTCAAATTATCAGCAGCAGAAAAACAATTAAAAAATCTAATTTTTTAAATATATTAGATCTAGCAGCCTTTAATTTGGCTATGAAGTGTACCCTGTCGGATGCATGCCATCTGTTTGTTCAGGTTAAAAAGTTTAGTGCCTACATTCAATGTTTTTCCTCCCAAAATAGTTTTTCATAGTTGATCAGTTGGTGAGTGTTAGACAATACTCACCATTTCAAATCTGTTCTGATCTCAGTTTCTTTACAATGGACCAATTGAATATAAATCAAATATATTTGAAAATGGACCAATTGAATATAAATAAAATATATTTGAAAATGGACCTGTCAACTTGTTTTTATTTTTACCTGTCTGTTTCAGATCAAGCGTTTAGAAGTGTGATCTTATTTAGCAGAGGCAGAAGGGTGTGTGGGAGGTGTGTATTTGGTAGAGGTGGAAGTGTGTGTTTAAGTTTAAGTTGGTGTGTGTGTGTGGGGGGGGTTATTAGGTAGAGGTGGAATGATCATCTAAAGATTTGCCACTATTTAAATAGTAAGGTATTATAATATATTTAAAGAAAATAATTTATTTTCTCTTTTTTTTAGTACATTATTACATACATACTTGTTATTTAAAGGTTTTTTTTTTTTTGTAGAATTTTAAATATTTTAATACAATAGAGTTGCATGAGTAAAAACTATTGCGCACCAAATGATCGTGATAACGAGCGTATACTATTAGTCATCCAATTAAGTCAAATTTAATGTCATGTTGCATTGTCATCGGGTCTTGGCTCACTTGCCGAATTTCAGAGAAATAGATCGGTTAGAAGTGCCAGATATTTTGCACGCCCGTTTTGATCTAGACAGACAGAGACAGATGGAAGACAGAGGAAGCAAGTGAAATAAAAACTGGTAAAACAGAAATGCGAATAGAGAGAACAGGAGGAAGCAGACGGAAGATATTAAAAAGACGTATCTAATTCAGCACTGAACAATTTAAAAAGATAAACAAAACATCGATGAACACGTGACAAGGATGGATGCTGTTATCTCAGATTAGATACAAAACTCGAGAGGGCGAGTACTTCCTGGTTCGTCAAGAGGGTGCAGTGGGAGGGGGTGAGGAGGGAGGGGGTGAGGAGTGAAGGGGTGAGGAGGGAGGGGGTGAGGAGTGAAGGGGTGAGGAGGGAGAGTATTGGATGCTGATTTTCTCAAACTTTATTGTTGAACATTGAACCAACACAACAAACCCTTAGTTAAAACCTTCAATACAAGACAAAACTTCAACGCACATCATTAGGTGCTTAAGTTGATGGTAAGATTGATGTTACAGCTAAGCTAGACACGTTGATACAAATGTTGATGCTAAAGTTGATTCAAATGTTCATGTCACAGCTAATCTAGACACGTTAATGCTAAAGTTGATGTTAAAGTTGATGCTAAAGTTAAGCTAGACACGTTGATACAAATGTTGATGCTAAAGTTGATGTCACAACTAAGCTAGACACGTTGATACAAATGTTGATGCTTAAGTTGATGTCACAACTAAGCTAGACACGTTGATACAAATGTTGATGTTAAAGTTGATGTCACAGGTAAGCTAGACATGTTGATACTAAAGTTGATGTCACAGGTAAGCTAGACATGTTGATACTAAAATTGATGTCACAGGTAAGCTAGACATGTTGATACTAAAGTTGATGTCACAGGTAAGCTAGACATGTTGATGTCACAGGTATGCTAGACATGTTGATGCAAGCAACTAGCAGCAAGCAAACGCCGCTCTAGACCGCTGGTCTAACCACAGCCGGCAGATTGAGGCCGACAAAGGGAGGCAAGAAGAAATCGATGCGCTGATTGTTCTAGGCTCCCTTTGTTTACCTCCCCTATCAGCAATCTGGATGATGGTTCCAACAGTTCGCTGTGGCCCGGCAGATGGGACCCCCCCCCCCCCCCCCCCCCACTGTCCTGGCATTATGCTGCGCTACATTCATGAGGGGCAATACTGTATTTGGTTTACATAAATTGGTTAATTAATCACTCACATTAATTAATGAATAAGGCTGAGGCAACAATAAACAAACACATAATTAAATTATAAATGCAGACCTTTTAATCGGCCATTATCACAGTATTTCAATTGAATAGGACGAATAATGGATTGAAGATTATATAAGGGTGAGACATTGGACGAATAATGGATTGAAGATTATATAAGGGTGAGACATGGGACGAATAATGGATTGAAGATTATATAAGGGTGAGACATAGGACGAATAATGGATTGAAGATTATATAAGGGTGAGACATAGGACGAATAATGGATTGAAGATTATATAAGGGTGAGACATTGGACGAATAATGGATTGAAGATTATATTATATAAAATTATAAGGGTGAGACATAGGACGAATAATGGATTGAAGATTATATAAAATTATAAGGGTGAGACATAGGACGAATAATGGATTGAAGATTATATTAGGGTGAGACATAGGACGAAGAATGGATTGAAGATTATATAAGGGTGAGACATAGGACGAAGAATGGATTGAAGATTATATTATATGTTATAAAAGGGTGAGAAAAAAAAACAAGCTTTGTGGAACAAGTTGCACAAACTACAGGGAACGAGTTGCCCAAACTTCTAGAAACAAGTTGCACAAACAAGGAACAAGTTGCAAAAACAAGGAACAAGTTGCAAAAACAAGGAACAAGTAGCACAAACTTCTAGGAACAAGCTGCACAAACTACAAAAAAGAAGTATCATAAGCTTTTGCGGATAAGTTGCAAGTTGGATAAGGTTCGTGGAATAAATTGAAATAAAGTTATTGCAAGAAACAAGGTAAATCAAACAGTAAACTATGAGACAAACAAGTTGAATAAACTCAATGGGATTAGGTGAAAAAAAAAACCCACAATGGAGCTAGCTTGCACCGAAGTGTCGGGTCAGCTATATTGAGTACAAAAACCCCGTCCAACAAATAACCCGGCCAACTGTTTGGGTGAGCTGTTGTTGATAGGGTGGACAGATGATGACCAGGACAGAAATAAACCTGGCACGTGCACAATACTCACGCGGCACGTGCGGTCACCTGTCAGCTCCCCCCCCCCCCCGATTCAGATTTTCGACCTTATGACATCAGAGGGTCACCGTGACATCAGAGGGTCGACGCGCCGACCTTTGTCCGAGGGTGAACCTGGCAGTGAGTACCACAGGCTGACCACCTGGATGGGCCAGCTGACCACTGAGTTGGCCGCAGGCGGGTTGACCCCCGGGTATCACGTGACGGGCAGACCTCGAATGACAAAAGCCCTCCCCGCCACCGTGCGATGAAGTGTCATTAAGGAGGTGGGCGGCTAATGAAACTCTAGAACATCACGTGCTCTATTCTTATTTAGGACTGGAAACGGGATGGGGGGGGGGGGAGGGAGAGACATCGTTTTTTTTATTTCTTTAAAAAAAGATAAACAACCTAATCTCGATTTAATAGTGTTGCAGTAAGGTTAATGAACTCAGTCACTAAATACCCCGCGGTTGGCACTCCGTCTCTCTTGAAACCTTACAAAATAGAAGTGTTGGATGTGTTTGACTGTGGCGTGCTTCATTTGTTTTCCTTTTGTTTTGGAAACCAACACATTTTACATCTAAGTTGGAGGTTGCCTAGGTAACGAGTGTGTCTACATCCAACGTTGGAGGTTGCCTCGGTAACGAGTGTGTATACACCCAACGCCGGAGGTTGCCTAGGTAACGAGTGTGTGTACATCCAACGTTGGAGGTTGCCTCGGTAACGAGTGTGTATACATCCAACGTTGGAGGTTGCCTCGGTAACGAGTGTGTATACACCCAACGCCGGAGGTTGCCTCGGTAACGAGTGTGTATACATCAAACGTTGGAGGTTGCCTAGGAACGAGTGTGTACACATACAAGGCTGGAGGTTGCCTAGGTAATGAGTAAGTTTACATACAGATCGTGAGCAGATCAGACTGGCTTGTTGATAGTGAGCTCTCACAGAGTCTTGGTAGAGTGGGTACCCTGGTGAGTCTTGGTAGAGTGGGTACCCTGGTGAGTCTTGGTAGAGTGGGTACCCAGGAAAGACAGGTGAGTCTTGGTAGAGTGGGTACCCAGGTGAGTCTAGGTAGAGTGGTTACCCTGGTGAGTCTTGGTAGAGTGGGTACCCAGGAAAGACATGAGTCTTGGTAGAATGGGTACCCAGGAAAGACAGGTGAGTCTAGGTAGAGTGGGTACCCTGGTGAGTCTTGGTAGAGTGGGTACCCAGGAAAGACAGATGAGTCTTGGTAGAATGGGTACCCAGGAAAGACAGGTGAGTCTAGGTAGAGTGGGTACCCTGGTGAGTCTTGGTAGAGTGGGTACCCTGGTGATTCTTGGTAGAATGGGTACCCAGGAAAGACATGAGTCTTGGTAGAGTGGGTACCCTGGTGAGTCTTGGTAGAGTGGGTACCCAGGAAAGACAGGTGAGTCTTGTAGAGTGGGTACCCTGGTGCTTCTTGGTAGAGTGGGTACCCAGGTGAGTCTTGGTAGAGTGGGTACCCAGGAAAAACAGGCGAGTCTAGGTAGAGTGGGTACCCTGGTGAGTCTTGGAAGAGTGGGTACCCAGGTGAGTCTTGGTAGAGTGGGTACCCAGGTGAGTCTTGGTAGAGTGGGTACCCAGGTGAGTCTTGGTAGAGTGGGTACCCAGATGAGTCTTGGTAGAGTGGGTACCCAGGTGAGTCTTGGTAGAGTGGGTACCCTGGTGAGTCTTGGTAGAGTGGGTACCCAGGAAAAACAGGCGAGTCTAGGTAGAGTGGGTACCCTGGTGAGTCTTGGTAGAGTGGGTACCCAGGAAAAACAGGCGAGTCTAGGTAGAGTGGGTACCCTGGTGAGTCTTGGTAGAGTGGGTACCCAGGAAAGACAGGTGAGTGTTGGTAGAGTGGGTACCCAGGTGAGTCTTGGTAGAGTGGGATGAATGAGATGAAGTTAATTAGCAGCATACATGCTAAACTGGTTATATTTCCTACACCTTTCAACCATGTTATTGAAGTACTAACTGGACACATCAACCATGTACTGCAGTACTAACTGGACACACACTAACGGAATGCTTATTGCATTATCACCATTTTATTTAGAATCAACAGCTCCAAATACAAAAACCACAAAATATATGCTCTGCTTTATATCACATACAAAATCAAAGAATCTTAAAGCTTGCCTGGAAAAATAAGTGCAGGATGGCATTACTTCTTTCACCTACCAGTAACACATCTACACACAATTTTAATGCATAATCTTATACACTTTTTTTAAATAGAAATTTTGTAAAAAAAAATAAATCAACCAAAATATTAAGAGGATTCTCTGAAAAAAGGTTAGCAATGGCAAGAAAACTTGGACACAACTGAATCTGTTGTAGACAAGTGATACCCAGTGTGTCATGACCTAGGCAATGCCATGGGTCTGAGCTGCATCTAATGACTTGTCAGCAGATTATCACAATATTTTGGTCTCAAGAGGAGGGTTAGAAATAAACAGTTTTTTTTTTTTACTAATTGACTAGATTAATTAATGATCAATCACAAATAAAACAACATGGAATGTAGGTGACATTAGAAGGTTTCAATCTTCTATAGAATAGTATCGAGAGAGTGAGGGCCTTCTTTCATCAGGGTCTCTGGCCTCTGGTGATACAGAGTTATCTAGCCTTCCATCAGCCTGATCCCCCCTGTCATGGAGCACTGAGGACATTTTCTCCTGCCTTCTCTCCCCTTGATCAGTCAATGCTGCTGCCACTCTGTCATGTCTGGCTTCGTTTACAGCCAGGGTGCCATCATGGGGACGGAAGTTGGACACTTGAAAGTATTCTTTCACCTGCTGGCACATTTCACTCTCTTAGTGGATGGGATAACTTCACGGACAGGTTGAATGGATGGGATAACTTCACTGACAGCCTCAATGGATGGGATAACTAACTTGACTGACAGGCTCAATGGATGGGATAACTAACTTCACTGACAGGCTCAATAGATGGGATAACTAACTTCACTGACAGGCTCAATAGATGGGATAACTTCACTGACAGCCTCAATGGATGGGATAACTAACTTCACTGACAGGCTCAATGGATGGGATAACTAACTTGACTGACAGGCTCAATGGATGGGATAACTAACTTCACTGACAGGCTCAATGGATGGGATAACTAACTTGACTGACAGGCTCAATGGATGGGATAACTAACTTCACTGACAGGCTCAATAGATGGGATAACTTCACTGACAGCCTCAATGGATGGGATAACTAACTTCACTGACAGGCTCAATGGATGGGATAACTAACTTCACTGACAGGCTGAATGGATGGGATAACTAACTTCACTGACAGGCTCAATGGATGGGATTACTAACTTCACTGACAGGCTAACTGGATGGGATAACTAACTTCACTGACAGGCTCAATGGATGGGATAACTAACTTCACTGACAGGCTCAATGGATGGGATAACTAACTTCACTGACAGGCTCAATAGATGGGATAACTTCACTGACAGCCTCAATGGATGGGATAACTAACTTCACTGACAGGCTCAATGGATAGGATAACTAACTTCACTGACAGGCTCAATGGATGGGATAACTAACTTCACTGACAGGCTCAATGGATGGGATAACTTCACTGACAGGCTCAATGGATGGGATTACTAACTTCACTGACAGGCTGAATGGATGGGATAACTAACTTCACTGACAGGCTCAATAGATGGGATAACTAACTTCACTGACAGCCTCAATGGATGGGATAACTAACTTCACTGACAGGCTCAATGGATGGGATAACTTCACTGACAGGCTCAATGGATGGGATAACTTCACTGAAAGGCTCAATGGATGGGATAACTAACTTCACTGAAAGGCTCAATGGATGGGATAACTAACTTCACTGACAGACTCAATGGATGGGATAACTTCACTGACAGGCTCAATGGATGGGATAACTAACTTCACTCACAGGCTCAATGGATGGGATAACTAACTTCACTGGTAGGCTCAATGGATGGGATAACTAACTTCAGTGACAGGTTGAATGGATGGGATAACTAACTTCACTGACTGGTTGAATGGATGGGATAACTAACTTCACTGACAGGCTCAATAGATGGGATAACTTCACTGACAGCCTCAATGGATGGGATAACTAACTTGACTGACAGGCTCAATGGATGGGATAACTAACTTCACTGACAGGCTCAATGGATGGGATAACTAACTTGACTGACAGGCTCAATGGATGGGATAACTAACTTCACTGACAGGCTCAATAGATGGGATAACTTCACTGACAGCCTCAATGGATGGGATAACTAACTTCACTGACAGGCTCAATGGATGGGATAACTAACTTCACTGACAGGCTGAATGGATGGGATAACTAACTTCACTGACAGGCTCAATGGATGGGATTACTAACTTCACTGACAGGCTAACTGGATGGGATAACTAACTTCACTGACAGGCTCAATGGATGGGATAACTAACTTCACTGACAGGCTCAATGGATGGGATAACTAACTTCACTGACAGGCTCAATAGATGGGATAACTTCACTGACAGCCTCAATGGATGGGATAACTAACTTCACTGACAGGCTCAATGGATAGGATAACTAACTTCACTGACAGGCTGAATGGATGGGATAACTAACTTCACTGACAGGCTCAATGGATGGGATTACTAACTTCACTGACTGGTTGAATGGATGGGATAACTAACTTCACTGACAGGCTCAATGGATGTGATAACTAACTTCACTGACAGGCTCAATGGATGGGATAACTTCACTGACAGGCTCAATGGATGGGATAACTTCACTGACAGGCTCAATGGATGGGATTACTAACTTCACTGACAGGCTGAATGGATGGGATAACTAACTTCACTGACAGCCTCAATGGATGGGATAACTAACTTCACTGACAGGCTCAATGGATGGGATAACTTCACTGACAGGCTCAATGGATGGGATAACTTCACTGAAAGGCTCAATGGATGGGATAACTAACTTCACTGAAAGGCTCAATGGATGGGATAACTAACTTCACTGACAGGCTCAATGGATGGGATAACTAACTTCACTGGTAGGCTCAATGGATGGGATAACTAACTTCAGTGACAGGTTGAATGGATGGGATAACTAACTTCACTGACTGGTTGAATGGATGGGATAACTAACTTCACTGACAGGCTCAATGGATGGGATAACTAACTTCACTGACAGACTCAATGGATGGGATAACTTCACTGACAGGCTAACTGGATGGGATAACTTCACTGACAGGCTAACTGGATGGGATAACTTCACTGACAGGCTCAATGGATGGGATAACTAACTTCACTGACAGGCTAACTGGATGGGATAACTTCACTGACAGGCTCAATGGATGGGATAACTTCACTGACAGGCTCAATGGATGGGATAACTAACTTCACTGACAGGCTCAATGGATGGGATAACTAACTTCACTGACAGGCTCAATGGATGGGATAACTAACTTCACTGACAGGCTCAATGGATGGGATAACTAACTTCACTGACAGACTCAATGGATGGGATAACTTCACTGACAGGCTCAATGGATGGGATAACTAACTTCACTGACAGGCTCAATGGATGGGATAACTTCACTGACAGGCTCAATGGATGGGATAACTAACTTCACTGACAGGCTCAATGGATGGGATAACTAACTTCACTGACAGACTCAATGGATGGGATAACTTCACTGACAGGCTCAATGGATGGGATAACTAACTTCACTTACAGACTCAATGGATGGGATAACTTCACTGACAGGCTCAATGGATGGGATAACTAACTTGACTGACAGGCTGAATGGATGGGATAACTAACTTGACTGACAGGCTCAATGGATGGGATAACTAACTTGACTGACAGGCTCAATGGATGGGATAACTAACTTCACTGACAGCCTCAATGGATGGGATAACTAACTTCACTGACAGCCTCAATGGATGGGATAACTAACTTGACTGACAGACTCAATGGATGGGATAACTAACTTGACTGACAGGCTCAATGGATGGGATAACTAACTTCACTGACAGCCTCAATGGATGGGATAACTAACTTCACTGACAGGCTCAATGGATGGGATAACTAACTTGACTGACAGGTTGAATGGATGTACTCACCTTACTAGCAGGTAGACAGCATGCTGAATGTATGTGAGTTAATACCTTCCACATTGGAGGTGGGGACTTAGATGGTTTAGATCGGCTCATCCTCAACAGCTCTTCTTTAGTGTATGCATATTCTAGGAGAGTAACAAAAATCACACTATAACTAAGAAATCTATATTGATGAAAATGGAAGTCTATCTGTGGCTTTGCCTTTTAAGCATTACTACACAAATAAACCAATACCAGGGTAGGTTACCTAAAAAATTTTTTTATCTCAATTTTGCAGGCGTTGAGCCCTGTCAGTAGGGTGGGATTTGATGCCAAAAGTTTCCCACCAGCTACCTTAGCACCTGCAATACGATGATTGTGCATCATGCACAAGGAGTCAGAGGTCTACTTGATTCAACAGTCAAACTACAGTACACATTATCTGGTTACACAGACCACAGTGGGCTCTCTTATATGCACTATGGCGCCTACATTAACTTTAAAGAGCACCCTACACTAGGGACAAGGCTGCTACATTCAATGACTAAAACCAGGGATCACACCCAGTGCCCCTGCTGTTGGGTAACAGCTGACTCCTGAGAACGTCCCCATGACACCCGGGCAGTCCCTGAGAGGTATTCTACCTCACATTTATGGAGGGTGATTACTGTACACTCAAGGCATTCATAGTGTGCACAAACTTGCGGCCTACTAACAACTAAAGATTCAAGAAATAAAGTACCAGCTTTATTTACTCAAATTTTTAAATGAAACAAGGTCACAAGCCTAAAAATACAAGTTTACTGACGCGTTGATGAAACCCTAATAAAATATTTTGTCTCTGGTGTGTAGAACTAGATGGCAGCAGCAGACAATGTAAGTTAGCACAAAATAAATGGCTTGAAAATCATCATCTAGCTAATTAAACCCCCCCCCCCATGCTAGTTTTACCATGTTATTACATGTACTGTAAGATAGTGTACTGACTCCTTTATTTAATTACTCACTAATTAGATTCATGATGGCTGAGTTACTTGTTTGAGCGCTGGTTTGCTCATCTGGTTCTTTTTCAACTTTCACAGACACCTGCTGGACAAATGTCACACAACTCTTGTTACTCTCAATCAGAGGTGTCTAATATAGCCAGTGGTGTCATAAAACAGTTGTCTAATATAGCCAGTGGTGTCATGGGACAGTTGTCTAATATAGCCAGTGGTGTCATGGGACAGTTGTCTTATATAGCCAGTGGTGTCATGGGACAGTTGTCTAATATAGCCAGTGGTGTCATGGGACAGTTGTCTAGCCTGTGGTGTCATGAGAAAGTTGTCTAATATAGCCAGTGGTGTCATGGGACAGTTGTCTATAGCCAGTGGTGTCATGGGACAGTTGTCTAATATAGCCAGTGGTGTCATGGGACAGTTGTCTATAGCCAGTGGTGTCATGGGACAGTTGTCTAATATAGCAAGTGGTGTCATGAGGCAGTTGTCTAATATAGCCAGTGGTGTCATGGGACAGTTGTCTAATATAGCCAGTGGTGTCATGAGACAGTTGTCTAATATAGCCAGTGGTGTCATGGGACAGTTGTCTAATATAGCCAGTGGTGTCATGAGACAGTTGTCTAATATAGCCAGTGGTGTCATGGGACAGTTGTCTAATATAGCCAGTGGTGTCATGGGACAGTTGTCTAATATAGCCAGTGGTGTCATGGGACAGTTGTCTAATATAGCCAGTGGTGTCAAGGGACAGTTGTCTAATATAGCCAGTGGTGTCATGGGACAGTTGTCTAGCCAGTGGTGTCATGAGACAGTTGTCTTATATAGCCAGTCGTGTCATGGGACTGTTGTCTAATATAGCCAGTGGTGTCATGAGACAGTTGTCTAATATAGCCAGTGGTGTCATGGGACAGTTGTCTAGCCTGTGGTGTCAAGGGACAGGTGTCTAATATAGCCAGTGGTGTCATGGGACAGTTGTCTTATATAGCCAGTGGTGTCATGAGACAGTTGTCTAGCCAGTGGTGTCATGGGACAGTTGTCTAATATAGCTAGTGGTGTCATGGGACAGTTGTCTAATATAGCCTGTGGTGTCATGAGACAGTTGTCTAATATAGCCTGTGGTGTCATGAGACAGTTGTCTAATATAGCCAGTGGTGTCATGGGACAGTTGTCTAGCCTGTGGTGTCATGGGACAGTTGTCTAATATAGCTAGTGGTGTCATGGGACACTTGTCTAATATAGCCAGTGGTGTCATGGGACAGTTCCAGTTGAACTACAGGAACAAAACCAACCTGTTCCTTAGGTTTATCTTGGTCTTCTACGCTCTGTGTCCATATGGTCACTGCATGCATTTCAGTAAACAAAATCCTAGAGGCAAGCTGTAGGTAAAATAATTGGCTGGGCTTTCAAGATTATAACTAATAAAAACATTTTACTCAAATATTTGACCCACCTGACCACCATATCATGTCTTTATGACCACTGTCCAGCTGTCTGTCTGACCACTGTCCAGCTGTCTGATCACTGCCTAGTTGTCTGTCTGACCACTGTCCAGCTGTCTGTCTGACCACTGTCCAGCTGTCTGATCACTGCCTAGTTGTCTGTCTGACCACTGTCCAGCTGTCTTTATGACCACTGTCCAGCTGTCTGACCACTGTCCAGCTGTCTGACCACTGTCTAGTTGTCTGACCACTGCCCAGTTGTCTTTCCACTGTCCAGCTGTCTGACCACTGTCCAGCTGTCTGACCACTGTCTAGTTGTCTGTCTGACCACTGTCCAGCTGTCTTTATGACCACTGTCCAGCTGTCTGACCACTGCCCAGTTGTCTTTCCACTGTCCAGCTGTCTGTCTGACCACTGTCCAGCTGTCTGACCACTGCCTAGTTGTCTGTCTGACCACTGTCCAGCTGTCTGACCACTGTCCAGCTGTCTGACCACTGCCTAGTTGTCTGTCTGGTCACTGTCCAGCTGTCTGTCTGACCACTGTCCAGCTGTCTGACCACTGCCTAGTTGTCTGTCTGGTCACTGTCCAGCTGTCTGTCTGACCACTGTCCAGCTGTCTGACCACTGTCTAGTTGTCTGTCTGACCACTGTCCAACCACTGTCCAGCTGTCTGACCACTGCCTAGTTGTCTGTCTGACCACTGTCCAGCTGTCTGACCACTGCCTAGTTGTCTGTCTGACCACTGTCCAGCTGTCTGACCATGGTCCAGCGGTCTCCCAAAGAAAAGGTTCTGTACTCACTAAAATGTTCTGCAGGTTGGACCCACTGATGACCATTGTATCTCCCAAGGGTGTTACCAATGTAAACAAATACTTGATTTTATCTTGACACAAGCTGCAACATTAGATATGACTGACACTACACATCATCACAACAAGTTAGATATGACTGACACTACACATCATCACAACAAGTTAGATATGACTGACACTACACATCATCACAACAAGTTAGATATGACTGACACTACACATCATCACAACAAGTTAGATATGACTGACACTACACATCATCACAACAAGTTAGACATGACTGACACTACACATCATCACAACAAGTTAGACATGACTGACACTACACATCATCACAACAAGTTAGATATGACTGACACTACACATCATCACAACAAGTTAGATATGACTGACACTACACATCATCACAACAAGTTAGACATGACTGACACTACACATCATCACAACAAGTTAGACATGACTGACACTACACATCATCACAACAAGTTAGACATGACTGACACTACACATCATCACAACAAGTTAGACATGACTGACACTACACATCATCACAACAAGTTAGACATGACTGACACTACACATCATCACAACAAGTTACATATGACTGACACTACACATCATCACAACAAGTTAGATATGACTGACACTACACATCATCACAACAAGTTAGATATGACTGACACTACACATCATCACAACAAGTTAGATATGACTGACACTACACATCATCACAACAAGTTAGATATGACTGACACTACACATCATCACAACAAGTTAGATATGACTGACACTACACATCATCACAACAAGTTAGATATGACTGACACTACACATCATCACAAGTTAGATATGACTGACACTACACATCATCACAACAAGTTAGATATGACAGACACTACACATCATCACAACAAGTTAGATATGACTGACACTACACATCATCACAACAAGTTAGATATGACTGACACTACACATCATCACAAGTTAGATATGACTGACACTACACATCATCACAACAAGTTAGATATGACTGACACTATACATCATCACAAGTTAGATATGACTGACACTACACATCATTAGTAATTACAGAAAACAATTACTTTTGAATGAGGCTGAGAGAACAATATAAAAATGAGCTATATCAATTTTGGATAAAACAATTACCTTTGAATGAGACTGGTAAAACAATCTAAAAATATGCTAGCTCAAATTTAGCTAAAACAATTACCTTTGACTGAGGCTGTTAACATTTGCCGACAACTGCCATCACATGTGGAATCAACATAAAGAATGTAAACAGGTGCATTCATTATCAAATTTAATTTAAAAAAACTAATATGAAAGTACATTTGAAAGCTACTATGGGAATTAATGAGTCTTATATTTGTTTGATACATCAAATGACAATACAGGCTGAACAGTAAGCACCCCACTACATGGATCTTTTACCTAGTAAAATGACTGAGACGACTCAAAAATAACCATTCTGTTATTTTACATACTTGTATGACTGAGACTTGACTCAAAAGTAACCATTCTCTTGTTTTACCTAGTGGTATGACTGAGACTTGACTCAAAAGTAACCATTCTCTTGTTTTACCTAGTGGTATGACTGAGACTTGACTCAAAAGTAACCATTCTCTTGTTTTACCTAGTGGTATGACTGAGACTTGACTCAAAAGTAACCATTCTCTTGTTTTACCTAGTGGTATGACTGAGACTTGACTCAAAAGTAACCATTCTCTTGTTTTACCTAGTGGTATGACTGAGACTTGACTCAAAAGTAACCATTCTCTTGTTTTACCTAGTGGTATGACTGAGACTTGACTCAAAAGTAACCATTCTCTTGTTTTACCTAGTGGTATGACTGAGACTTGACTCAAAAGTAACCATTCTCTTGTTTTACCTAGTGGTATGACTGAGACTTGACTCAAAAGTAACCATTCTCTTGTTTACCAAATGCTTGCCCAAACACATTGCATGATTGGTCATACTTAACAAAGAGACATAACTACAGCTATTAAGTATAATATTTTTGTCTCCCCTTGTTAATTTAATACAACCTTGTGTTAGTGCCCTTATCTGCTCTTGTAATCAAAAGCAATAAATAATTCAAAGAACTTTGTAATTCTCCATTAATAATTTACACTAATGTGCTATCTTAGTTGCCAGCAGATACACATGTAAAATGCCAGAAAATGGTCAACCAGTTACTTTCTCAATTAAAATAAATATATCTGTGAATTTCGAAATGTTCCTGTACTTGTGTATTTCTGAAAAGTGGAACAATGCTGTGCTGAGGAACCATCAGCCTAAAATAAAATTAAAAAAATAAGAATAATCTTACAGCATTATGCTGCCTGTCAACTGGGGTAACCAGCTGATGCCCTTGAGAGTATCTGTCTTGTCTGTGTTGGGACTGCTCTTCATCCTCTAGACTTGCTATATTGTTGTTGAAACTGCTGTCAAATGATTTGGGCACACTTGGTGAACTATAGGGCTCTGGTGACAAATCTTTCTTGTTGCTTTTGTATGAGCCACAACTTGATGAATCAGCTGAACTTTGTCGGGTGTACGGGTCCAATCTTCCTTTCAAACACATCTTATTGTTTAGATTGTGCCAGTTGTCTTCCACCTTTTCTCCTTGCATTTCTTCTTTGTCTGTAAACTTCACAAAAAAAAAAAATGTTAAGGCAAGAAAAAAAAAACTGCTTTAAAAACTAGTAAACAAACACCATTTTAAAACTGTGTATAAAAAATAAGAAATATGTGCTTTATTTGGCAAATTTAAGGATTCGCTTTAACTTAAGTAATGCTTGTAGGCTAGTGGACATTAAGAAAAAAAGAAGTAAAACTAAGCTCATTAAAAAATCAGCATTCATTAAGGACACCAGTGTAAATATTTTACCTCACTTCCTAGACTAACCAGTGTAAATATTTTACCTCACTTCCTAGACTAACCAGTGTAAATATTTTACCTCACTTCCTAGACTAGTTTGTCTTTGAAAAAATGTTTCTGTCAGACCTCCTAAAATGTATAACATCAGTAAGTTATGAGCAATGCAATCAACAAAAATCAATACAGGTGTATAGACAATACAATAATCTACTGTAGATCATATTACATTTTAATTTAAAGACAATTATTACAAAATGTGTGCTGACAGAATATGTATTAATTAATTCACTACTCTAATTTGGAAATCATTTAAGAACCAAATGTTCAATATTAAATAAGACTTTATTGTTGAAACTTGAAATGATGATTAGAGCCCATAGCTAGACTAAAATAAATTAATTTTTAGACTAGTTTAGGGCCTATAAAAACTCTCTTGCATAATTATGAGTGAAAAAAATGACTGTTCCATTCCATTAATGTTCATGTCATTACCTGGATTAGTTTCTGGTTTTGATAAAGATCTTATTGGTCTTGCCTTTTTTAGACCATTTATTCTAGGGGCTGAAGCTTTTGGAAGACCTAAAAAGACTGATGACATCTTTTTTCTGATGCCACTTTGACTTTAACCTCTGAATAAAAATAAATTTATCAGATGGATATTGTAAATTTATGGAAAGCTGTTATGTTAGTCAATTTAGTTTCTATTAATAGTTCAAATCCAATGTTAAATTTACATAAAAAAATACACACATCTCATAATAGTAAATGCTGCATAATAAATAGATATAGGCCTAGGTCAAATGGATTTTAATTAAATTTAATATGCAGAAAGTAGTTAAAAAGTAAGTATGAACATCATCATTTTTGTTTTTGGAAGTAGGATAAAAAACACAGCTAGCAGGCTAAAGGCAACTTATAGATAATCATACTAGATCAAGATAACGTAGGTACATTCTAGATCTAGGCCTAGGAAAGAAACTATGGCTATCTGTAAAAAATAACTAGACTAAATAAAAAAAAAAGATTATTTAAAGATTCTTCTAGAATCTAGATTTAGTTCTAGATCTAGATTAGAAGACATGCTTTAAAAGTGTGGGTCTATATAAAATTTATTTATTATTACATTAGGCCAATAATATTTTATTTATTATTATTTAGTTAGTTAGACTAAAGCCTGCCGCTAAAGCTAAGTAGGCCTATAGAATCTAGTATACTTAAATACTAGATCTAGATTCTAAATAGATCTAGAATCTAGTCTAGATCAATCTTTAAATCATAGATCTAGAATTAAACTAGTCACTAAAAAAAGTAAAGTACTAGATTCTAGAACTAGCTATACATTGCAAGCAGCATTTCAGTTTGTGGAGATTTTCTCAATGACAGTGTTGCCTAAGTGTAGGTAAGTGTTGCTAATTTTTCTAGATTTACATGCCTGGGCCTGAACATCCATAGAGGGAAAAGTTAAGTTCTCAAAGTCAATGCATCAAGCAGCACCCCTATATAACTGCGGCTATAACATTGACAGAAGAAGCCCTTGAATCTAGAAGAAGTGGATAGATTCACCTACCTTGAAGTATTGTTGATAAGCAGGGTGGGACAGAAGCAGACATAAAAATAAGGACAGGCAAGGCAAGAGCAGTCTTCAACCAACTAAAAGGACAGAAGCAGACATAAAAATAAGGACAGGCAAGGCAAGAGCAGTCTTCAACCAACTAAAAAATGCTTGGGATTCTCAAGATTTAACCCTTGCCAAAGCCCTTGGTATAAAAATCTGGATCTTCAACACACTAGATTAGATCTAGTAAAACCTGCTTTACTGCAGCTTTACTCTATGGAGCTGAGACATGGAGAATAACTGCTATAAAAATAAGAAATAAACTTAATAAGTTTAACTTATGCCTCAGAAAGATCCTGCAAATTTGCTGGCCTAAAGGCTAAAACTGTAAAACCAACAGAAATGATGTTCTAGATCTATATTCTAGATCTATATTCTAGGGCAACGGACAAATCAACTGCCAGCTGAAGTAGAACCTCCAGAGAAAATGGATTGGCCACACACTCCCCGGGAAATCTGTATCCAGCATAACAAGTATTAACAAGACAGGCCCTCGCCTGGAATCCACAGGGCAGGAGGAGAAGAGGCAGACCAAGAAAGTTTAGAAAGACCTGGAGACGTGACCTGGAAGAAGACACCAAGAAGATTGGATACACCTGGGGACAGTTGGAGAGTCTGGAGAGACTAGCCCAGGACAGAGACGCCTTGTCAGCGGCCTATGTCCCAGGAAGCAAACCTAACCTAAGTTATAATATCTAGATTACATAATCTAGATACTATCCAGATGATCCTCATCAGTATCTAGATTCTAGATCTAAATCTAGAATGTCTAGATTCTAGATTAGATGTAATCTAGAATCTAAATTCTAGATCTACCTACACAGAAGTCAAACAGTGGCATTTCTTACATGACAGTGCCAGATTTAATCGAAAATCCTGGACCACTTTTTGTGTGTGATTATTATGCTTAAAATTAAATAAAGATACGTTTTTAAGTTAGTAATATTTGGTGCAGCAATAAAATAATGCCTTTATAGAAAATACCTAGATCTAGATCTATATACAATTCTACTAAACATTAAGCTGTGCCTATTACATTATATAGTATATAGAATACTATAGTGTATTAGTAAAAAAAACCTTGCCATTAAATCACGGACAGAGATCCTAAGCGTCAGTCTAGATCTAGACGTGGTAAATCATTTGTTCGAAATATTGAAATTTTATTCGCCATCTGTTGTCGTCAGCAGCAGCTCCATGTGAGAGGGGGAGTAGTGTGTGGGGGTGGGGGGGGGGGGCGGGCTTGGACTTGGTTATTTTACCTGATAACCACTGAAGTGAATTGATTATATTTCGTGTAAGCCATTTATTCACACCTGTAGCACCCATTTTTATCAATTTTTTTTAGAGTGAAGAGATGTTAGTCTATAGAGTACAAAAAAGGAACAAGCTTAATCCAGTGCTAACTAAATAATCAGTGTTTCTTCCAGACTTTTTTCTCCGGTGGGGGGAAGGGGGGCACTTGATATTTTCGGGGGGTCAAAAAATTTTTTTTGGGGGGGGGGGGGGGGCGGACACTTGTAAAAATGTATGTTTACTCTATACATTCCATCTCGTTCGGGTGGCGGGGGGGGGGGGGGGGCAATATCCATCTGTACGCTCTACGATTCTACCACTCCGTCCTTAAAAGTAAAGTTTCTTCTTCGAACCAAACGGTCTAAATTGCAAGTGAAGTAGAGTCCACATGATTCTGTGACCTCAGGATCAGTGTTTCTTTCAGACTTTTTAAAGCGGGGGGGGGGCTTGAAATTTTCAGGGGGGAACGGAAACACACTGGTAAAAGCATATATTTTCAATATAAATTCTACTTCGTTGGGGGGGGGGGGGGAGAGGGGGGGGGAAGAGAGGGGGGGGGAAGAGAGGGGGTAGACGTCATAAGCAACAAAAGCTTTTATGGTGGAAAAAAAAAGCGAAATAGTTTCATTTTCTTATTTTCAGTGCATTTAAAAGCTTGCTATTAGAAAATATTTGTTTTATTAGTAATTCGACCTTTGACTTTAATGAAATCGACACCCCTATCTAAAGGACGGCCATGTACCACTTGTTAACGCCCGTGAAAACCAGCCGTCCGTGACAAACTGTTCACTAACGGTTCAGCCTCATCAACAGGCTGATTGAGTTCAGAGGTGTAGCGACCCTTCCCGGCGCCCGAGGGACAAACTTTCAATTTGGCGCCCCGCTCGGGAGCAAATTTTCGATTTGCACCCCCCTCAAACTTTTGATTTGCACCCCCCCCCCCCCCTCAAACTATTTAAAATGCAAAAATGCAGCTAAAATGACATTTTAATTTGTTTTTCCAACCCATTTTGGCGCCTCCTAAGGTCGGCGCCCGGGGACATATGTACCCCCCCCCGCTACGCCTCTGATCGAGTTATCACTTGAGGTTAATTTTGTTTTATCTCCCCTGTCGTTACAACATTTTAGAAATTTTAACATTAAATTTTAATGACTAATTGTCTATCTAATTTAGATTAAAAATGAGGCCAATTCTAGACCGAAAAATATGCGCATAGTTCTACAATATCAATTCCATTTCGTTCGGGGGGGGGGGGGGCTCTGATGGGACAGGGACTAACCACGATAAATAATTAAATAGTAGATTTAAATAGGCTATTAAAATAGATTTTAAAAAATAATATATATTTAACTTATAGTCAAGAATTCTTTGCTAGCTATACTATGTGCCATGAACCCTCAACCCCTGGCGACCCGCCTGAAGCGCAACTGCTTGGCCACACGGTGCAGATAGTTTTGTCAGAAGAATAAAGATCAAATGTAATTGACCCCCTAGCGCAGCAATAAAAGAATTAATTGAGTCCATTGCGCAGCTATTAATAGTATTTAATTTGATATTTAAGTCATTGCGTTTTGCATCTTTTGCCGGCCAGATAGCGCGTGGGGGAAAATCTTTTTCGGAGTATCTTTGTAAAATAAGATATCATTGCATTGTCATTGAAGAATATAGTGTGGAATGTTCGAATGAAATCGCTGCCTTAAAAGTGGGTTAAAATTGAGTTACAGGCTTTGCCACAAAGAAACAAATAAATAAAAACAACAACACCAAAAGCAAACAAACAAGCTAGCATAGTGAACTCACAGTTCAAAGTATTAGATTGTCGGATTTATAAATATATATTTTTTTCATGTTTTAAAATTTGGTGGCGTTTTTCCTTTGATTTGTTTCATTGATTGCGATTTTTATCTTGTGATTTTCTCCCCCCCCCCCCCCCCCCCTCTAAGCCCTCTTGTATTGTCACTAGTTTTCATAGGCCAGAGATCGTGGTTTGTTTCCTGGTCATCTGACTCTGATATAAACTTGAACACGGTCTTTTAACTTTGGCACACAACAGGCAACCATGTTCTTATTTTTACAGCTTAGCCGTAAGTTAATAAAATTAAGTTGAATGAGTTTTGTTTTAGATAGACTCTCAATATAAAGATTTAAGTACACACATTCACGAAAAAAGCAATAAATTTCACCGAGATAAAAAAAATACCCTTAGTTGTCCGTTGACGTCCATGCATGTATTCCTCCCTCCCCCATGTATCTTCCCTCCCATGTGTACTAGTGCCTGTAGCCCGACCCGTTGGCTGGGGCCACGTCTAGGTCATGACGCAACCAAACCTGACCACAGCACAGCAGGCTCAGCCCGACCTACGGTGGCTACGTAACGGTCAAGGACATCAAAGGTGCTGCGCCACCGCGCGATGACCAGCCCTGCCCGCTGGTCAGGAAGAGTTATCTGTAATGGCTGTCACGTGATTTTATTGGTGGCACTTTCTGAACACGTGTGGAGACCTGAAGGGTGGGGTGGGGGGGGGGGGGGGGGGGGCGGGGTTGAGGGAGGAGTTGCTCTGGACATTTTCTTAAAATTTGCGTTAGGGGTGTGAAGTGAGGGAGAGGTTAGGGTTAGGGGTGTGAAGTGAGGGAGAGGTTAGGGTTAGGGGTGTGAAGTGAGGGAGAGGTTAGGGTTAGGGGTGTGAAGTGAAGGAGAGGTGTAATTGTTTGGCCAAAAGGGCATAACTTGAATTATAACTCACCTCTATATTTGGGCTTCACTGGCACCATAAAATCTTCCTCCCCCTCCCTCCCTATACATAATATCATCATCATCATCATCCCCATCCTTCTTCTCATCATCATCATCATCATCATCATCATCATCATGTGGAGCCTTAGTGGGGCAAAGGTACACAACCACCCCATTCCATAGTGCACATATATTTATGATAGGAGGGGAATCATATGCTTTCTCTGACGGGAATGGAACTAAAAACACTTGAGCCGACCATAATTTAATAATACCCAATATTCTTATTTTCTATAGGGGAAAGAATCGTGCTCAATTGCTTACGCCTTAAATGTTAATTGTGTTGTTTCCCTTAGTATTGAAAAGTTATCACGAATACTATACGTTGGCAAAAAGCGACCGGCTCATCCTTAGTTCACAACAAATGTTGGAGGTGCTTGTTACCAGTCACTAGAAATTAAAACTTTCACCTACATTTTGATATATTTTGCTTCTTTAGAAGCAAAATGTCCGTAAAACTAAGTGTGTCTATTCAATAACGATGAGTCATGCAGCTCAAATTGTACGCTTTCTAATTTTTTTATCCTGCTTCTCTTGGGCACCCCTCTGGTCGGCATCTCAAGTGGCCACCCCCATGACTACTAAGTCATTAGATCTAAGTAGTCTATATATGTAAGAAAGAATAGATAGGCTACTTCATACTAAAAAAGTTTATACCATCTGTTTTTTCTATGGCTTACTCAATAAGTAAATTGCGAAAAGTTTAATAATATATTTGAAAAATTCGGATTTTTCTACAGAACAATTTATTATTTACTAAGAAGATGACATTATTCTAGATATCTAGATCTAGAGAATCTAGCAGTCGCTACTTGGCCCGGACGAATCTCTTATCAAAATTATTTAAATTAATGATGATGTGACGATGTCAAAGTCTAAACTAAAAACTCCATAGATCTAGATTAATAAATAGATCTAGAATCTAGTCTAGACTCTAATTAAATAAATAATAAAAGTCAGTCAAGATTTGCAGGTTCATAGTGTTTGACTGGAGTTTGAGTGAGTTAGCTTGGCTTAAACTGCTTAAACTAAAGCTTAATTTAAGAATTTAAGAAATTTTAAATTTTAAGTTTAAGCTACCAATCTAGATCTAGAATCTAGATCTAGATTTACTGCATAGCAGTAGAGATTCTACATGATGGAGATCTAGAATCTAGATCTAGATCTAAATTTCTAGCTATGGTTGGCTGAACTATTTAGTATTTTCTTACAGTTGTTTACATGATATAGAATCTAGATTATAGATTAATAGGCTACATTTAAATTACATACTGTCATGACATAATCACATTACTTAGGCGGCATTTTTTTTTCATTTTAAAAAATAGGCCTAACTAATTTGAGTCTTAGGCGGCTTCAGTTAACAAGTATTAATCTTAAAAGAGTTAAATTTAAAAATTAAGTTAGACCTAGAAGATCTAATTAATAAATTATTATTAATCATATTAAACTGTTGATCCTAGTATACAATAATAAGCCCTACCAACTGTGCTGTACATATATTTCTTATAAGTCTTATATTGTACAATATAGTAATAGTCTATAGACTATAGACAGTTATGTCTATGTTCATGCGTTGTTATGTATATGTAATAACTAGTAATTGAAAATTGTTCTACAGAGTCAATAGGCCTATAGACTTTTAATAATAGAATTATAAATTGATAAATATAGGCCAAAGACCTATAAAACTAGTAGGACTATTATTGGCCTGAATATCATATATATTATATATTGCAGTTAAAGACAAGCTTACTAGAGTCTTAAAAGTCTATTAAAATGAATTATTATGCCTATAAATATAACCCTATTAACTAATTTATAATCGTAATAGCATAAATGACCTAAATCAGCCTTGGCCCAAGAGTAGATGATCGGCATGAGCATATAGGCTCTATCTATTCTAATATTTACTATGTAATCATGCTGTAGCCTACTATAATATCAAGTTTTAGGGTAGCAATCTAGCTTTTGACTTTAACTTTAAGGCCTTTCCAGCCTATTTGTATTATCTACCAGCTGTCTTATGGATTAATTTTGTACATATAGGCCTGGCCCAGCACCATCAAACAATTAGTGTAGCTGTAGCCGGTGCCACAGACAAGAAGTGTGGCCACAGCTGGTACCACCAGTGAATCAGAACAAACCAGCACCATCAAACAATTAGTGTAGCTGTAGCCGGTGCTGGGATGAAAGAACGAGTGAGTGTAGCTGTGGTTGGAGCCGGAGCAGCTGGTCTTTGTGCTCTGAGACACCTGGCACTGCCAGGTGTGTCATCCGTGAACTTGACGGCCACATGTTTTGAGCAGTCGCCCAGAGTGGGTGGGACATGGTACTACACTGAAGACATTGGCACTGACAAGTATGGCCTCCCGGTACATTCTAGCATGTATAAACACCTCAGGTAAGGTCAAAGTTCAGCCGTAGGTCAGATAGCCTTACACAGGTGATTGCTGTTTGTTCTTTGTGACTAGTCCTGTAAATAAACTTTGATCAAAGCAAGTGTGTGGTTGTTTGACCACGTACACTGCTGTGCCATCATCACATACAATGATGCAGGCAGCAAGTGTGTGGTTGTTTGACCACGTACGCTGCTGCTGTGCCATCATCACATACAATGATGCAGGCAGCAAGTGTCTAGTGGTCAAACAACACATACATTGCCATCATATTTTGTGAGCATCAGCAACTGAGAATACATTCAAATTGTTAATGGAATGTGCTGTTTTGTTAATGGGATGTGCTGTTTTAGCAAGATCATTTGATAGAGTTGTAGGCATATACTAATTGTCCTCATGACAAGGTGATCAAATATTGATTTTTTTCTCAGGACCAATCTGCCAGTTGAATGCATGGCTTTTCCAGACTATCCCTTCCCTAAACAGCAGCCATCTTTTGTTGAACACGAAGTGGTGCTGAAATATCTAGAGGACTACGCTCACAACTTTAACCTTACAAAGTACATTAAGGTAGTTACATACATTATCTAGTGGTGTAGAATATAATAGGCCTACAAAATAGTTTAAACTTTTTTCTCTTCATTGAAATTTGTGAACATAGTGATTGTCATGAAATGATTTTATGTTAAAATAAATATATTGATTTTGGACTTGATTGTTTAGTTTTTGACCAAAGTCAAGAAAATCAGACCTGTGTCAGACGAGGGGAGTAAGTTCAAGGTCAACTGGGAGGTGACCACATGCAGTGTTGCCAACCCAGGAGTGGAGCAGACGCAAACCTTTAATGCTGTGCTGCTCTGTAATGGGTAAGTCCTGCTTTCTTGTCCTGCTCTGTTATGGGTAAGTCCTGCTTTCTTGTCCTACTTTGTTATGGGTAAGTCCTGCTTTCTTGTCCTGCTCTGTTATGGGTAAGTCCTGCTTTCTTGACCTGCTCTGTAATGGGTAAGTCCTGCTTTCTTGTCCTGCTCTGTTATGGGTAAGTCCTGCTTTCTTGTCCTACTTTGTTATGGGTAAGTCCTGCTTTCTTGTCCTGCTCTGTTATGGGTAAGTCCTGCTTTCTTGACCTACTTTGTTATGGGTAAGTCCTGCTTTCTTGACCTGCTCTGTAATGGGTAAGTCCTGCTTTCTTGACCTGCTCTGTAATGGGTTAATGGGTAAGTCCTGCTTTCTTGACCTACTTTGTAATCGGTAAGTCCTGCTTTCTTGACCTACTTTGTAAAGGGTAAATCCTGCTTTCTTGACCTACTTTGTTATGGGTAAGTCCTGCTTTCTTGACCTACTTTGTAATCGGTAAGTCCTGCTTTCTTGACCTACTTTGTAATGGGTAAGTCCTGCTTTCTTGATGTACTTTGTTATGGGTAAGTCCTGCTTTCTTGACCTACTTTGTAATGGGTAAATCCTGCTTTCTTGACCTACTTTGTTATGGGTAAGTCCTGCTTTCTTGACCTACTTTGTAATCGGTAAGTCCTGCTTTCTTGACCTACTTTGTAATGGGTAAGTCCTGCTTTCTTGATGTACTTTGTTATGGGTAAGTCCTGCTTTCTTGTCCTACTTTGTAGTGGGTAAGTCCTGCTTTCTTGTCCTACTTTGTAATGGTTAAGTCCTGCTTTCTTGACCTACTTTGTAATGGGTAAATCCTGCTTTCTTGACCTACTTTGTTATGGGTAAGTCCTGCTTTCTTGACCTACTTTGTAATCGGTAAGTCCTGCTTTCTTGACCTACTTTGTAATGGGTAAGTCCTGCTTTCTTGACCTACTTTGTAATGGGTAAGTCCTGCTTTCTTGATGTACTTTGTTATGGGTAAGTCCTGCTTTCTTGTCCTACTTTGTAGTGGGTAAGTCCTGCTTTCTTGTCCTACTTTGTAATGGTTAAGTCCTGCTTTCTTGACCTACTTTGTAATGGGTAAGTCCTGCTTTCTTGACCTACTTTGTTATGGGTTAGTCCTGCTTTCTTGATGTACTTTGTTATGGGTAAGTCCTGCTTTCTTGACCTACTTTGTTATGGGTAAGTCCTGCTTTCTTGACCTACTTTGTTATGGGTAAGTCCTGCTTTCTTGTCCTACTTTGTAGTCGGTAAGTCCTGCTTTCTTGACCTACTTTGTTATGGGTAAGTCCTGCTTTCTTGACCTACTTTGTTATGGGTAAGTCCTGCTTTCTTGACCCACTTTGTTATGGGTTAGTCCTTTCTTGACCCACTTTGTAATGGGTAAGTCCTGCTTTCTTGACCTACTTTGTAATGGTTAAGTCCTGGTTTCTTGACCAGCTCTGTAATGGGTAAGTCCTGCTTTCTTGTCCTACTTTATTATGGGTAAGTCCTGGTTTCTCCACCTACTTTGTTATGGTTTTAAAACTGGTTATGAGACCTAATTTATGAAATCTAACACCTCTGATGCCTTATGACATCGTAACTGTCCCTATTCTAGGCACTATGCCAAGCCCCTGGTGCCAGATATACCAGGTGTGAACAGTTTTCCTGGTCAAGTCACACACAGCCACGACTACAGAAGGACAGACGGCTGTGATGGCAAAGTTGTGGTCATCTTGGGTGCGGCCTCGTCTGGTATTGACATCTCTCTGGAAATGTCTGCGGTGGCCAAACAGGTTTTTACATCACCAATCATTCACAACATCATCAACAACATCTGTAATCTTTAGTGCCATAACAAGCCAACCCCCACAACCCAGTTTAATTCAAGCCATAACAAGCCAACCCCAGCAACCAAGGTTTATTTAAGCCATAACAAGCCAACCCTGACAACCCAATTTAATTTAAGCCATAACAAGCCAACCCCCACAACCCAGGTTTATTTAAGCCATAACAAGCCAACCCCCACAACCCAGGTTTATTTAAGCCATAACAAGCCAACCCCCACAACCCAGGTTTATTTAAGCCATAACAAGCCAACCCCCACAACCCAGGTTTATTTAAGCCATAACAAGCCAACCACCACAACCCAGGTTTATTTAAGCCATAACAAGCCAACCCCCCAACCCAGGTTTATTTAAGCCATAACAAGCCAACCCCCACAACCCAGGTTTATTTAAGCCATAACAAGCCAACCCCCCAACCCAGGTTTATTTAAGCCATAACAAGCCAACCCTGACAACCAAACTTCCAGACAACCTGCATCAGAAACCTGGCATAAAAAGGGTAGACAACTCCATGATAGAGTTTTTAGACGGCAGTTCTGTAGAGGCTGATGTGTTGATGTTCTGTACTGGCTACCATTATGACTACCACTTTCTGGACAAAGACTGTGGGATTGTTGTCCATGAAGAGCGGGTAACTCCGCTGTACAAACACCTGATTAGCAGCAAGTACCCTAGCCTGGGGATTGTTGGGATATGTAAGCAGATTGTACCCTTCCCCATGTTTGATGTGCAAGTCAGGTTTTTCAGGTGAGAATTTGATTGGAGGGAGGAGTCTACTAGGAGTGACAATATTCTGGATCCAATTCTCAATAAAATTAGACAATTTTAGTGATAATGACAGCTCTATTGTAGACAGTTAATTATATTGCAAATGACAGCCATATTCAATAAATAGTTACAGTTCCTGGTGAAATAAAATGGTTTGTAGTAATTCATCCAGGCAGAGTTTTTTTTACCATCTCAAGGTTATCACTGACTTATTACACCTGGGTAGAAATACAGGTAACAGTACATGCCACTGTGGTGTAATAGATGGCTGACTTTAAATATGTGACTGTAAAACAACATGGCTGACTGTACCCTGTGTGACTGTAAAACAACATAAGGCTGACTGTACACTGTGTGACTGTAAAACAACATATGGCTGACTGTACACTGTGTGACTGTAAAACAACATATGGCTGACTGTACACTGTGTGACTGTAAAACAACATGGCTGACTGTACCCTGTGTGACTGTAAAACAACATATGGCTGACTGTACCCTGTGTGACTGTAAAACAACATATGGCTGACTGTACACTGTGACTGTAAAACAACATGGCTGACTGTACCCTGTGTGACTGTAAAACAACATATGGCTGACTGTACCCTGTGTGACTGTAAAACAACATATGGCTGACTGTACACTGTGACTGTAAAACATGGCTGACTGTACCCTGTGTGACTGTAAAACAACATATGGCTGACTGTACCCTGTGTGACTGTAAAACAACATAAGGCTGACTGTACCCTGTGTGACTGTAAAACAACATATGGCTGACTGTACACTGTGTGACTGTAAAACAACATATGGCTGACTGTACACTGTGTGACTGTAAAACAACATATGGCTGACTGTACACTGTGTGACTGTAAAACAACATATGGCTGACTGTACCCTGTGTGACTGTAAAACAACATATGGCTGACTGTACACTGTGTGACTGTAAAACAACATATGGCTGACTGTACCCTGTGTGACTGTAAAACAACAAGGCTGACTGTACCCTGTGTGACTGTAAAACAACATATGGCTGACTGTACACTGTGACTGTAAAACATGGCTGACTGTACACTGTGTGACTGTAAAACAACATAAGGCTGACTGTACACTGTGTGACTGTAAAACAACATATGGCTGACTGTACCCTGTGTGACTGTAAAACAACATGGCTGACTGTACACTGTGTGACTGTAAAACAACATATGGCTGTTTTACCCTGTGTGACTGTAAAACAACATATGGCTGTTTTACCCTGTGTGACTGTAAAACAACATATGGCTGACTGTACCCTGTGTGACTGTAAAACAACATATGGCTGACTGTACACTGTGTGACTGTAAAACAACATATGGCTGACTGTACCCTGTGTGACTGTAAAACAACAAGGCTGACTGTACCCTGTGTGACTGTAAAACAACATATGGCTGACTGTACACTGTGTGACTGTAAAACAACAAGGCTGACTGTACACTGTGACTGTAAAACAACATAGCTGACTGTACACTGTGACTGTAAAACAACATATGGCTGACTGTACACTGTGTGACTGTAAAACAACATATGGCTGACTGTACCCTGTGTGACTGTAAAACAACATATGGCTGACTGTACACTGTGTGACTGTAAAACAACATATGGCTGACTGTACACTGTGTGACTGTAAAACAACATATGGCTGAATGTACCCTGTGTGACTGTAAAACAACATATGGTTGACTGTACCCTGTGTGACTGTAAAGCAACATATGGCTGACTGTGAATGTGACTGTAAAACAACATATGGCTGACTGTACCCTGTGTGACTGTAAAACAACATATGGCTGACTGTACCCTGTGTGACTGTAAAACATGGCTGACTGTACCCTGTGTGACTGTAAAACAACATATGGCTGACTGTACCCTGTGTGACTGTAAAACAACATATGGCTGACTGTACACTGTGACTGTAAAACATGGCTGACTGTACCCTGTGTGACTGTAAAACAACATGGCTGACTGTACCCTGTGTGACTGTAAAACAACAAGGCTGACTGTACACTGTGACTGTAAAACAACATAGCTGACTGTACACTGTGACTGTAAAACAACATATGGCTGACTGTACCCTGTGTGACTGTAAAACAACATATGGCTGACTGTACACTGTGTGACTGTAAAACAACATGGCTGACTGTACACTGTGTGACTGTAAAACATGGCTGACTGTACACTGTGTGACTGTAAAACAACATATGGCTGACTGTACCCTGTGTGACTGTAAAACAACATATGGCTGACTGTACACTGTGACTGTAAAACATGGCTGACTGTACCCTGTGTGACTGTAAAACAACATATGGCTGACTGTACCCTGTGTGACTGTAAAACAACATAAGGCTGTCTGTACACTGTGTGACTGTAAAACAACATAAGGCTGACTGTACCCTGTGTGACTGTAAAACAACATATGGCTGACTGTACACTGTGTGACTGTAAAACAACATAAGGCTGACTGTACACTGTGTGACTGTAAAACAACATATGGCTGACTGTACACTGTGACTGTAAAACAACATATGGCTGACTGTACACTGTGTGACTGTAAAACAACATAAGGCTGACTGTACACTGTGTGACTGTAAAACAACATATGGCTGACTGTACACTGTGTGACTGTAAAACAACATGGCTGACTGTACCCTGTGTGACTGTAAAGCAACATGACTGACTGTACCCTGTGTGACTGTAAAACAACATATGGCTGACTGTACACTGTGTGACTGTAAAACAACATATGGCTGTTTTACCCTGTGTGACTGTAAAACAACATATGGCTGACTGTACCCTGTGTGACTGTAAAACAACATATGGCTGACTGTACACTGTGTGACTGTAAAACAACATATGGCTGACTGTACACTGTGTGACTGTAAAACAACATAGCTGACTGTACACTGTGTGACTGTAAAGCAACATGGCTGACTGTACCCTGTGTGACTGTAAAACAACATGGCTGACTGTACCCTGTGTGACTGTAAAACAACATAGCTGACTGTACACTGTGTGACTGTAAAACAACATATGGCTGACTGTACACTGTGTGACTGTAAAGCAACATATGGCTGACTGTACCCTGTGTGACTGTAAAGCAACATGATTGACTGTACCCTGTGTGACTGTAAAACAACATATGGCTGACTGTACCCTGTGTGACTGCCTTACCTTCCAGGTCAGTGCTTGATGGGACGTGTGTGCTGCCCAGCGAGGCGGACATGAACGCTGACACAGAGCAGGACTTCCAGCTCCGCCTGACCTCCGGCCTTCCACAGCGCCACGCCCACTTGATGGGGGACAGACAGTTTGAGTACAACGACCAGCTTGCCAGGATGGCCAACACCCAGCCCTTGTCTGGCCACTACAAGCAGCTCTACCTGGCCACACACCTGCTCAGGCTGGACAACGTCATGGAGTATAAAAATAGAAACTTTATTCTTGACCCAACAGAGGTCAGAGTTGTCAAGTAGGGCAAAGGTCATGGATACATGCAGGGTTCCTTTCATCAAAGGTCATGGATACATGCAGGGTTCCTTTCATCAATCACCAAATAAAAAAATTATCTGAGAAAAATTGAAAATTTAGCTCAAGCTTTTAGGACTGTGCTATCATTTAGTGTCAGACAAGAACATTAAAACATTAGAGATTTTAATTAATTTAATAAAATGATAAAAGATTGCACTAATTCAATGTTAACAATTTGCACTTTCTACAAGCACATTCTGTGTATTCAACTTGTAACATTTTTCTCCAATTTTTGTCCGTTTAAAACACTTAATTTTGGAGAATTTTGGGGCATTAAATCATTAAAACTAGTGTTTTGAACGACCACAAATTTTAAAAATTCATAATAAATTTTTTTGAAGGAATGCATTTAAAATTTTTAGCTGAGTGCCCCAAAATATGGAAGAAGATTATTTATTGGGCTTAAAATATAATATTTTATGGATGGTGGAAAACCTACGAGGGGGTTTAGTTTTCAAGATGGCCGCCGTTGTCATAGTTACCAAGATTTTTCCACAAATTTTTTTTAGTGGAAATGCATATGCGGATGTATCTTAATAAAGCTGTAAAGAAATAACTGTTTTCTAAAGAGTATTAAAAAAGTGTTTTTTTTTCGGAGCCTCCCCCCTTAATATATGCACCAAAAATAAAATTATATCTAACATATAATTAAAAAACCTTAGAAAAACCCTCACTAAATTTCAGCAGGGTTTATAATAAAAGTCTTTTTTAAAAAAAATACATAGATGCTAAAATGTATGTAATTTATTTTTGTAATAATCAAAGTACACTGAAAGACAGAATATGTTAATTAGCTGTGAACTGCAGTGTGACCGTTAGAAGTAGAAGAGTATGTCGCGAGTAATCAAGGGGAGGTAATAGAGTTAAATAGTACATCCAAAGTATTTAATGAGTTACCTATCTTGTTCTTTTGGCTTAGGTCTAAAAGTAAATACGAAGGGGTGTGTCCTTAATTTGGTCATGACGTGATGATTTATACAAGCACAATTAAGGATAGCTATGTCTGTGTAAACTTCTAGTGCCACATGGCGATTGTTTGAGAAGAAAAACCTATCTGTAGTCAGGCATTCTATCTGAAACTTATCTGTAGGCAGGCATTCTATCTGAAACTTATCTGTAGGCAGACATTCCTTCTTTGTCTTTCACGTTGATCATTTTTTGTAATGTATCACCTTCCCAAGGTGACCAGGGTGGAAGGTGACTTGTGTCACTTTTGTTTACTGTTGGTTGTACACGTCCGTGTGTTGAAAATTTTGTGATGCTATTTTTAAAGCAATATTTATTTATTTATGTATAAACAGATGTAATTTTAAAACCAATCCTGCAAATAAAATATTTCTAAACACTTGCCTTCCTTGATTTATTGTATAGACTTGTGTGTAAACATATGGGTCCCTGGATAACAGACACCCTACATGTTACCTCAGTGGGGGCCGCAGTGGATATTTAACATATGGGTCCCAGGATAAGAGACACACCCTACATGCTACCTCAGTGGGGGCCATGTGGATATTTAACATATGGGTCCCAGGATAACAGACACACCCTACATGCTACCTCAGTGGGGGCCGCTGTGGATATTTAACATATGGGTCCCAGGATAACAGACACACCCTACATGCTACCTCAGTGGGGGCCGCTGTGGATATTTAACATATGGGTCCCAGGATAACAGACACACCCTACATGCTACCTCAGTGGGGGCCGCTGTGGATATTTAACATATGGGTCCCTGGATAAGAGACACCCTACATGTTACCTCAGTGGGGGCCGCAGTGGATATTTAACATATGGGTCCCAGGATAAGAGACACCCTACATGCTACCTCAGTGGGGGCCGCTGTGGATATTTAACATATGGGTCCCTGGATAAGAGACACCCTACATGCTACCTCAGTGGGGGCCGCTGTGGATATTTAACATATGGGTCCCTGGATAAGAGACACCCTACATGCTACCTCAGTGGGGGCCATGTGGATATTTAACATATGGGTCCCAGGATAAGAGACACCCTACATGCTACCTCAGTGGGGGCCGCTGTGGATATTTAACATATGGGTCCCTGGATAAGAGACACCCTACATGCTACCTCAGTGGGGGCCATGTGGATATTTAACATATGGGTCCCAGGATAAGAGACACCCTACATGCTACCTCAGTGGGGGCCGCTGTGGATATTTAACATATGGGTCCCTGGATAAGAGACACCCTACATGCTACCTCAGTGGGGGCCATGTGGATATTTAACATATGGGTCCCAGGATAAGAGACACCCTACATGCTACCTCAGTGGGGGCCGCTGTGGATATTTAACATATGGGTCCCTGGATAAGAGACACCCTACATGTTACCTCAGTGGGGGCCATGTGGACAGCTGCGATTACAGGCATCCTAGTTGAACGGAGAGGGTTTGATCGTTCTTGTTGGAATGGTTTAAAAAATCTTTATCTTTCGAGTTGGCTGAACTAGAGACTAAACTTTTAGCGGCTGAACTAGACAAGTTATGCTGTAGCGGCCTAGCCTACCACGCTAATCTTGTGACTGATTTAAAAAGTTAAAAAAAAAAAAAAGCTGGAGTCGGTTTCCTAAAGTTGTTGTTGCAACATTAGCCAGTTAATGTGAAAAATAATGGGGAAAATGCTGTAGCGATCGTCTGTCAAAACATCAGGTAATGACCTGCGAGACTGTACAGGTGAAGATATTACACGGAAGCTACTTCCTGCCGGAGATGAAAGTAACAAACTTTCGCTTGATTCCCTGGGCGCGTGAAGTAGTTGTCTCACTTTGTTTTCTAAGTGTTGCCAGATTTTTCAGCAACTACACGTACCCGGCATAAGCCTGGCAACCGGGGCTTTGGTACGGTACTTCAGACAATCCATGTCATATTTTATAAAACGTCATATTTTACAATCCATTTCATATTTTATAATACATATCATATTTTACAATCCATGTCATATTTTATAATCCATTTCATGACACCCCTCCGTCCCCCTGATATCGCTGTATACTTGACACCCCTCCGTCCCCTGATATCGCTGTATACTTGACACCCCTCCGTCCCCATGATATCGCTGTATACTTGACACCCCTCCGTCCCCATGATATCGCTGTATACTTGACACCCCACCGTCCCCCTGATATCGCTGTATACTTGACACCCCTCCGTCCCCTGATATCGCTGTATACTTGACACCCCTCCGTCCCCATGATATCGCTGTATACTTGACACCCCTCCGTCCCCTGATATCGCTGTATACTTGACAACCCTCCGTCCCCATGATATCGCTGTATACTTGACACCCCTCCGTCCCCCTGATATCGCTGTATACTTGACACCCCTCCGTCCCCTGATATCGCTGTATACTTGACACCCCTCCGTCCCCTGATATCGCTGTATACTTGACACCCCTCCGTCCCCTGATATCGCTGTATACTTGACACCCCTCCGTCCCCTGATATCGCTGTATACTTGACACCCCTCCGTCCCCATGATATCGCTGTATACTTGACACCCCTCCGTCCTCCCCAGGCCGTTACAGCAGACCGCAACTACACCTCACACAGTTGTGTGATCAGTCGAGATAAAATACAAATAAAAAAAAAAAGGTTTCTAACGCACTGAAAATTTAAAAAAATAAAACAAACTTGCTTTCTTTAGTAAAGTAGAGTAAAAACATCGATCGCTAAAGTGTGTTACAGATCTCATAAGCAACCTATGCTTTTATTAAAGAAAGTTTGTTTAATTAATTTAAAAAGTTCAGTTAATTTAAAAGCTTAATATAATAACATGTTTGCTTTATTTGTTTTCGCATTTTAGCGAATCGTTCGTACTGCAGACAACGGCACATACGACTAAAAATATTTGCTTTAGAAATCGATCATTAGCTGGCGATCTATACATTTACAAGACAACAGTAGGACCTTGTTATCGCCCGTCGCCGCACCTAGGCCTGAAACCAACCACCTGTAACCAACAGCTGACCAACAGCTGACCAGGTGACCAACAGCTGACCAGGTGACAAACAGCTGACCAACAGCTGACCAACAGCTGACCAACAGCTGACCAACAGCTGACCAGGTGACCAACAGCTGACCAACAGTTCACCAGGTGACCAGGTGACCAACAGCTGACCAGGTGACCAACAGCTGACCAGGTGACCAACAGCTGACCAACAGCTGACCAACAGCTGACCAACAGCTGACCAACAGCTGACCAGGTGACCAACAGCTGACCAGGTGACCAACAGCTGACCAACAGCTGACCAACAGCTGACCAACAGCTGACCAGGTGACCAACAGCTGACCAGGTGACCAATAACTGACCAACAGGCAACAGCTGACCAACAGCTGACCAACAGCTGACCAACAGCTGACCAACAGCTGACCAACAGCTGACCAATAGCTGACCAACAGCTGACCAACAGCTGACCAACAGCTGACCAGGTGACCAACAGCTGACCAGGTGACCAACAGCTGACCAACAGCTGACCATCAGCTGACCAACAGCTGACCAGGTGACCAACAGCTGACCAACAGCTGACCAGGTGACCAACAGCTGACCAACAGCTGACCAACAGCTGACCAGGTGACCAACAGCTGACCATCAGCTGACCAACAGCTGACCAGGTGACCAACAGCTGACCAACAGCTGACCAGGTGACCAACAGCTGACCAACAGCTGACCAATGTAATGAACAGGATTCTTGCTTTTTCTCCAGAGACGAATGTATTGTTACAGCTTTAACCAAATAGCTGCACAAGAAGTGGGTCGTGTTCCTTCCAGGTATCTGTTTGGTGGGTGAGGGGGGGGGGGTGGTGGGGGGGGGGGATCTGCTACCACACAAAAGTCTACCCCCCCACCCCCGACGAAATAGAATTTATACAGAAAATATATACTTTTCCTATTGTCTGCCCCCCCCCCCCCCGAAATTATAGTCCCCTCCCCCTACTTAATTTCAAGTGCCCCCCCCCCCCCACCCCACCCCCGGAGAAAAATGTTTGGAATAACACTGGTAAAAATTGAGTTACAAAATGTGCCATAAACCCACAGCCGCTATAAACTAAATATAACAAGCTAATAAAAATGTTTTGATGGAATGCTGAACTTTGACGTTCATGGGGTTCTGTGGGGTGGTTCTGTGGGGTGGTTCTGTGAGGTGGGTGAGTAAAGTGGTTGAGTGAGGTGGTTGAGTAAGGTTGTTAAGTCAGGTGGGTGAG